AGGCAAATTCTTTTTTTTTTAGAAGGCATTTGGCCTTTATTTTTTAAGTTGAGCTTCATTATAGGAAAAGAGGAGATCATCTTGGCATCCAAGGTAATAGACCATATTCCCATAGCGGCTATTTCCTGTTATGTCACTCTCAGGATGGGAAGTTTGAGCAGTGTCAGTGTAATCGTAAAGTTAGCTAAATGGATGAGAAACGTTATTTGTGTCCCAGTGCTTTCCTGAAAACATATCAAAGTTGCGCTGTTACATTTTCTAGGATTAAAAAAGGATTAAAAAAAGGATACATCAACTGAACTGACGCCTTTATCTATGGTGTTGAAGGTAGGACCACCAGCCCCCTGCCCTTCCTATGCTGTAAACATTGAATTTTCGGCTAAGCCAATGTGAAGTAAAAAATTAACGTCAGCGCTACTAGTCATCCATCCATTTTCTTCCGCTTATCCGAGGTCCTGTCGTGGAGGCAGCAAGCGCAATAAGTCAACCCAGACTTCCCTCTCCTCAGTAATATTTTCTGGCTCCTCTTGGGGGATTCTGAGGTGTTCCAAAGCCAGACGGGAATTAAATCCCTCTAGCTAACTCTGGGTCTACCCGGAAAAATCTCCAAAGGGAGACATCCAGGAAGCATTCTAATCACAAACAGAATCAGTAACAAGGGGCAACCCTGGCGAAGGCCAACCAAAAGTCCTTCTCCAAAGCCTCGGAGCCGCAACCACTGAAGCCACAGCCCTCAGAACTACCTGTCAGCTGCTTCCAGAGAACCCTTCAACAACCAAGCCGGAAAGGCCTCCTTCTTTAGCCTGACGGCATCCGCCACCCAGGTGTCCACCAGCGGGTTCTTAGGTTGCCACCATGACAGGCAGCGATGGTATTTTGACCAACTCCTAGCAGCCACTTCCACATTGGAGGCTTTGAACATTGACCACTCTGACTCCACATCTTACTCAAAGTAATTGCCAGGGGTGTGTGGGGCACTGTCGATCAGTTGTAGGATTTTCAACCAGTACGTAGTGGTTTGATCCCAAGCTCCTGCAGTCACATTTCGATCCCCCAATATCTCGCCTGTGAACATGTATGATTAATATTTGTTAATACTGATGGACACTACATAGCAGCCTCTGCCATTAGGAATGTGAATGTGGTCAATGTGACCTGCCGTGTTATAAGCGCTTTGAGAACTTCGAAAAAAACTAGCTCAAGTTCATTTACCATTCTTACATATCAGTTCTAATGCACCTATCAGGTAATATCAAATTAAATCGAGGTTGACAATGTAATATAAAAAAGTACAGTGTTTCTGTAAAAATGATTCTGAGATTCAAATCAGCATTCTTAAAAAAAAATAGGATTCTGACATAGAAGACTCAATATATAGAGAAAAAAGGCAACATTCTGACTTTAAACTAAGAATTCCCACCTGTACACCTTTTCAAAAAGTGAATAATGTAATCATTGTTCATCTGAACAAAGAGCCCAAGGATAATAATGAAAAAGGTAAACTAAACTGAAGAAGTAGGTATTATAAGTGAGAGTTTGGGGAAACACTTTTGGGCTAAAAATCTTTGTTCACACTTTCGGTACATGTTTGGAAGTTTTAATTAGTTATGTAGCTGTGAATACGTCACTCTACATGTCTGGGTCTATGTCGCAAGAAAGCCATCAGGTATGCTAACAAGAACAACTCCACACACTGCATACACAAGATAACACTTCTACTGTCACATACAAAAAATGGGACTTTTAGTGTTTTGGCCTAGAAAGAACTTTGGTTTCTTTGGATAAATGCCTTTCAGTTTGTTAAACATGCGGTATGTGTTTGGAGGTGCTGGGTGCATATTTAGAATAGATGGTATAGTTACTGTATTTACTAAGATGAGCCCTGTAGAGGTTCTGTTATAGACAAGCCTTCAATGGAAAAATCAAGAAGAATACACTTAATGTTGCACATAACAGGTACAAAGGCACAAAGAAAAAATAAATAATAAACAAACAAATTAAGCAAATAATTATTTTATAATTTTGTATTACAGACTATAAATAGAATAAGTATTACTTCAAACTGCTTCAAATAATATCGTCTTTTTGTTATTCCCAATCTTAATAGTTGAATACATTTTCCATTTCAGTTTTTCACAATTTCAAATTCTATTTAAGATCATTTGTGAGAAAGGATATTCTAAAAGTAGTTGATGTAACAGTGCGTCTTATTATATGTTTTCAGGGGAGGATGTCGAACAAACAAGTCTTATCCTACTTTTGCCTCACACTACACCAGTCACAGCTGTGGCGTCACATTAGAACATCAGTTTGATCCGCATATGTGGTGTGCTTTTGTCTCAATGTGTGCAAACAGACATAGGCCTATATGTGTGTGCCAAAGGGCAGACATGTTATTTTTTTCCCCAATACCTCATCCTTACAAGCTTGTTCAAAGGAAACATATTTTTTTCCTTTTCTGTACAAATTCAATGATTCTTGTAAATATACTAACGTTGGTAAGTCTTTTAGGATAAGGTTTGTAAACAACCCAATATTTTTTTGTCAGGTACAAAAATTAAATCTGCAAATAAACAAAAGTATGAAAGTATTCTTTAAATCTATTAGTCCTTTTTACCTTTTAGAGGAATCACAATTATTGTATTGTTAAGATAATATCGAAACTGTTATAGATTCTGATACTTATTGACACTCTTGTCAGTTCTAATCTTCATTATTTGGTACGAAGAGAAAGACATGACATAAAATATGTCTAAATGTAAAAGATGAGAGACTCATGAGAGAATGATGTTTACTGCTTTAACACCTGAACTGAACAGACTTCATAAACCTCACAAGAAGGCCAAACATGAAATATAAAACTAAAGATTTCAACACAATTATGGGATTAATGTAATGTTCCAAGTTGATACTTAAATACAATACACTCCCCAGAAACCTTATATTACCTTGGAAACTCTGACAGAACTGTTATGGTTTTACCTCGATTAAATCATTTCATTTGGATATTAATATGCTTGTTATGTAAGCTATGTTATGTTACATGTTGTTGACAAGTGTCAGCTGGAATACGATAGAAATTCTGTTTTTTAGACATGACTATTATTACTCCTTCAGTTTTGGCACACAACACAACAAGACGACACTTTAAGACTCCTATCGCCTACTTCCCTATCAATAGGTCTACATCGCTGAGGGTTGAATATGGTGATAATTCCCCAGTAAACAAAATGTGTTTTCTCTCCAAAGAGCCTTGAAGTAAATAACACAGAGCTGTAGTTATTTTAAAAACCTTCAATTAGTGCTTAAATAAGACTAATCAGGTCTGAAGCATGAGCACACATTTCCCCTGCTCCACCAATGACCGTGACCCATTTACACACTGTAACCAAGTCTTTGCAGCTGAGAGCTGATGAGCAGACACCGGGTAGCATGTGAACTCTGCTCTCATCTCCTCTAAAGTGTAATTCATCCCTCCTTTCTCTCTTTTCATCAGCAGCTCTGTTTTCACTCTTTGCCCTTGGATGTCCCTCGTTTCCTATATACGGTGATCTAGGTCATGCATACTCTGTTTAGGATGTCTGATACCAGGTTATCAGAGAAATGCAACTGCTTTCACATGAAAAGTAAGGGAACAATTTTGGGAGCAAGATTTATCTACTAAAAGTCAGCTGCTCTCTTCAGCAGCATTTGGAGTCTTACTTGTAGGAATCACCGACTTTGTGTTATTGTTCCCAACCCTGAATAATAATAACACGACAGTTGTGATGTGACACACAATGAGATTCAGCTCTAAAGTTGACTGAGATTCTTAATCTGCATTGCTAATGAGACATTTCTTGCAAAACAAAAAGTTAGGATTGTTAAGTGTGTGTCATCAAAAACCCATGAAGTTTAACCCACTGCCTGATTTCATCCTGAGCCTGAGTTATGAAGATAAACCAGCAGTCCTGATGACTCGAAATTATGGTCACATTCAGTTCTATGTGAATTAGAGACAGATTTTGGCGAGTGTGTCCATCTCTGTTCTTTTGTTTATATTGTGATTGTATTGAACTAAAGGTAGAACTGATATAAAGACAGAACACCTCTCATTAAAGCGTTCTATAACAGACTCTCTTCCTCTGTCCGTCTTTCCTTTTACATGTCTTGCCTCCTCAGACCCGCCCTCCCTCTCTCCCATCCAACAATTTACATGAAATCTTTCATAAATTCTCAGGAGTGCATAATTATGTGAAAAGAGCTCATGATTAATAAAATGAGTTCCCCTGCAATTAATTGCTTCTGATACTTACTGAATCCATAAGGCTTACAGAAGCTTTATCCGCCTGAGACAAGGTGTTGAGCTGAGCACAGACAGAGAGAGAGAGGTATCAGGTGAAGCTGGCGGGGCATTAAGAGTTTGGATACTTCATTGTCAAGCAGACACGGACATCCTGTTGCTGTCTGGAAGACTTCCAGATATATGTTCCCTGCAATGTGACACGTGTTTTTGATGTGACCTCTATTAACTGTGTGTGTGTGTGTGTGTGTGTGCATGCACATAGCAGTGAAAGCTGTGTTTCAGGTCATTTGTCAGTGTAAGTACAGAAAATACGTTGAAAATACTTTCAACGTCTTTAACCACAATATTACTTATTATGTTGTTTTATTATTGTTTTTGCCCTGAGAGCACTTGCAGGTAAATATTTTTTTAAAGTTACATTTGAGGGCTTTTTGCCTTTATTAGATAGGACAGCTGAAGAGAGGCAGGAAATGTTGGGCGGAGGGAGTTGCATTCGTACCCTCGGCTGCTGTGATGCAGACTATAGCCTCTGTACATAGGGCATAAGACACACCCACTAGCCTACAGACACACACACACACACACACACACACACACACACACACACACACACACACACACACACACACACACACACACACACGCTGTGTATGCGTGCCAACATGCGTGTCTTTCTATAAACACCTTAAAGCATATAAAACATGAGAAGATATGATTTCAAATCCCAGGATATATTGCATACATTACAGTAAATTGTATACTGAAATATTTTCATACATACTAATACAGTGTAATGGTCTTGTTGGGGTTATTAACTCTGACCTGCTGTAGCTATGATGATGCAGGCAAGTCTGTCTCTAAAGTCACTTTACAATAGTGACTTCAGAGACAAAGGACTGAAAAAAAAAGACATTATACCTTATCGTCATCATCACCATAAGGCTGATCAAACACTTGGGCAGCACATCTTTACTTGTCCATATGTTTACCAGAAATTCAGACACAGTTCTACTGTAAATCTATCTTACAAACATCATATTCTTGGATCCAAATACTGATAAAACCATACCATCACAACATTACACTGATACAGTATGATTTACAATTACACCTTCAGTAAGTACGATGGATCACAGAACATAGGGTCCCCTGGGCCTGCAACAGTTACCTTTATTACATTTGCTCATTAACCAATCATTCTTTGGCTTCATTCATCTGTTTTTTAATCTTTGAAGGTAGGTTTGGTAAAGTTTATGTAGTGCCATTGAAAGGTTTAGTCTCCCTAAATCAAACAACAAGATAAAAAAGCTACTAATCTAGAAGTGTGATATTTGTAAAGAAATCCATAACTTGTAAGGATAATATCTACCTTTAGAAAGATAGGGGGACCAGCAAACTTTGCACAAGTTAAGGTCAGAGAGAGTGCAACTTCTGCATTTTCAACCAAGCTGAATCAAAATAGTTGAGCATAGATGGATACAAAACATAGATATCACAGAAAGATTAAATATGGCAAATGCATCAGTTTCTTAACAATACATTATTTAAGGCACTCCATTATTGTCAATTTTGTGGAGTCAGACTGCTCACAACAGTGAAGGGTTCTAACCAACACTACTCATCAAAGAAATTAATAGATGCAAGAGTATCATGATACAATTTGAAATAATTAAATAGAGGAAAGCTGTGTTCTAGACACTACTCACAAGTTACTCATTCGCACTTGCAGGGATATTGTGTTTGTGTTTTTGTTGATGCTACTTTGTACAATCTTTGTCTAATTTGTGTCAGATTGACCTTTTTCCTATCCATTACGGTTTTACCTGGAAACCGCACCAGTTTTTAAGATAACAGAAAAGTCTAGCTTTACAATAAATGTCCCTTCCTGTGTGTTTGTAAGAAAATGAATTGGGTGGTAAATGCACACAAAGTTGTTTGAAAGGTAATTCCTACAAGCTGAGTTACAAAGTAGCATATCCCCAGTGCAGTTTACAGTAACAATCTTCTAAACATTGTTGACATTTAACTTTTTCTTAACCGTTCATTACATTTGACTTGTCTAAACCTTCATGGCCTTGAAATAAACAGTGTGAAAGTTGTGTTAATAGAGCTTATTACCAAAAACGTCAAAAAGGAAAGTGGTGTTCACAATGTTGTGAATAGGATAAATAGTCATCGTCATACATCGTTCAAACATACATACTAAAACAAAGCGAAATGTGTCTTGGACATTCATTAAATAAATGATTCTGTTTGTCTGTTATCAAGTGTCAAATTCATAATAGACACGTGAAAGGTTAATACAGTTCATTCTGCATATTCTTAGAAAACTTTTGTTTCACTTGGTACAAACACGTCATAGATTCCATTATCATGAGGGAAATCGAAACATTTCATTTCCCGCAAACTCTTCTAGACAGAATGTGTTTCCTGCCTTGTATCAAAGTCTCTTGTGCCATATTGTCCCCTTCCACAGTTATTTCCCTTTGTCAATTTGTCAGATGCCATTAGCTTTATTAAGCGAGGTGTTGCTTCCCTGTGTGCTACGGGCCTCAGCCTTCATGGCTTCTTCTACTGCATCAGCCAGAGGTAGCTTATCCTCTGCTTCTGTCTCTCTGTGGTAGAAGTAGTTAAAGTTGGAGACAATGACAGGAACAGGCAAAGCAATGGTAAGCACGCCTGCAATGGCACACAAGGTGCCCACCATTTTACCCCCCATTGTGATAGGACACATATCCCCATAGCCAACTGTGGTCATGGTTACAACAGCCCACCAGAAGCCATCAGGTATGCTAACAAACTGTGTGTTTGGCTCATCTACTTCAGCAAAGTAGATAGCACTGGAAAAGAGGATGACTCCGATGAAGAGGAAGAAGATAAGCAAACCAAGCTCACGCATACTGGCCTTCAGAGTCTGTCCCAAGATCTGCAGCCCCTTGGAGTGACGTGAGAGTTTGAAGATACGAAACACCCTCACCAGGCGAATGATTCGCAGAATAGCCAAAGACATGTTCTGTCCCGAGTTCTCCTGTGGCGTTGTGACCAATTCTGTGACTACAGTTACAAAGTAAGGGATGATGGATATAATGTCAATGATGTTCATGAGGTTGTGGAAAAAGTCGCTTTTGCTAGGACAGACCCAAAATCTCACACACAGCTCAAAGAAGAACCATGCGATGCACGCAGACTCGATGATGAAGAAGGGATCGGAGAAAGTTGTGGGCTCTGCACCAGATGGTGCCACGGAAGTGTAAAGTCTGGACTGGTTGAAAGGCAATACTGCTGTGGGCACAATTGGGTCACTGTCATCTCTAAATTCTGGTAGGGTTTCCATGCAGAAAATAATGATGGATATAACAATAACAAAAACGGACACAAGTGCTACACCTCGGGCTGCATTTGAGCTCTCTGGGTACTCAAACAGTAGCCAGAATTGCCTGTACACATCATTATCAGGTAGAGGGATCTCAACGTCCTTTATGAATCCTTCATCTTCTCTGAACTGCTCCATAGCCTCGCTTCCAAGCTGATAGAACAGTATTTCATCTGCAAACACATCCAGGGGAACGTTAGCTGGACGTCTAACCTTACCGCCAGATTGATAGTAATACAAGATCCCGTCAAAGCTGGGTCGGTTACGATCAAAGAAGTACTCGTTCCTCATTGGATCAAAGTAGTCCATCCTCTTTAGAGGATCTCCTAGCAGGGTATCAGGAAACTGGTCCAATGTTTTGAGCTGGGTCTCAAAACGAAGACCAGCAATGTTGATGATAACTTTTTGGTCTCCATCATCTAGCCCCCTTTTATCTACAAACAGATCCTCGCAGCACTCCTTGGCAAGCCGGCTGAAAATGGTCTCACTTTCCTTGGTTCCATCACTGTTTAGCAGCAATTTCCAGTTGGAGATCATACTGGCACAGCTACTACGCCCCTGTCTGTTTGGAGTTGGCATGGTTGGAGACTTCAGTACTCTTAGTGTCTGCGTCTGTGGAATGGGCGAAGATGAGGTGGATTCCCACATATGGGAGGGAACTGGGCTGTGGTGGGAGGGTGGAGAAGAAAGCTGAGGGACTCGAAGGAGGTAGTTGCTGCCGGGGCTGTTTAGCCCCTGAGGAAAGTCCACTGTGAGAGCGGTGGTCTCATCAGCATAGGTGTCTACCTCATCCTCGAGGCTGCCGTCAAGATCACCCAGGCTCTCAAAGTCTACCAGGGCCACCTCCATGGCTGCGGCTCAGCCAGTGCAAAGCCTGGAACCCCAGGATAAAACAATCACTAACACACAGTTAGTTTGATGGACAGTTGCTTAGACTGATGGGCAGCTCAGTCACCAGAATCAGCAGAGAAGAACAACAGCAGATGTTACAGTGGCCGGGACAGAGAAAGCCTCCTTTTTTCCTTTATTCCCTCCAACACCTGAAGAGACAGAACGTAGAGAGTCAGTGTGTTGGTGTCAACAGTTTAGGGTTTGAATTGTACTTATTGTAATGATGAAACAAGAGTATGACGATGGATTTCACATGTTTTTTTTTGACTCCTTGTTTTCTTAGAAACCTTCCCATTTGAGAAAGTGATTAGTTTACTGTTTAGAAAATTCTGTGTATGCAGATTGTTTTATTAAAACTTTTTGAATAATTAAATCCTCTGCTAGCTACACTTACAACCAATTTACTAAGTTAATCAGTTGTTTTATGTTTGCCTTTTTCACTATTACATGACTCACCAGTGCCTCCACAAAAACAGAGTATAAAGAAGTAGCGTGGAGTTTTGTTTTTCTTGCCACAAAAGTTGAGCCTGCTCCAGTCTAATCCCTTCTTTCTTTCTATATTCTGGCTGCCTCACCCTCTTCCTCTTATTCTTTTCCCTTATTTCTGTATCTTCCCCTTTTTTACTTTCTTCATCAGCTGGTCGCCAGAGGAATGGGGAATCAAGGTACACGGCCTTAAATGACCCCAGGTAAATGCAGGGTAACTGGGTCTGTGCATACATTAGTGCATAATTAACTTGCTGTACAGTGATAGGATTGGCCTAGCCTCCTCCAGACACCAGGACTCATCAGTTTACCGACTCTGTGCCTGCTCCGTGCTAAATAAAAAGTGCCACCTCTAACTGCTCTCAGTCTACTTGTGGATATGTGCAATTTACATGTGTTTGCTTGTTACAGAGATCTGAGGCCTACAGCTGTTTAATTAAAGACTCCAGACATGAGTCACCACCTAAACCTAATTCCAGTGATAACAATCCTGCTGAGAAGAGAGAGAAGAGAGAGAGAGAGAGAGAGAGAGAGAGAGAGAGAAAGAAAGAAAGAAAGAAAGAGAGGAGGGCCGACTGAATGAATAAGGAGGATGACACAAAAAATAGTTGGGAAGACAGATGTGGGTGGATTCATTGGGTGGGCTGAGGACAAATCGCAAGAGAAGAAAAATGACTATGAGAGAGAATAGGAGTTGAAAGGTGGGAGGATGGAAAGACAGGCTGATGACAAAGCAGCCAGGAAGGGTGTTTTCTCAAGATTAGAAAAAAATCAGATGACGAGGAGGGGCAAAAGAAACAAAAGTGTGTTTGACTGTGCAGACTGAATGCTAGATTAAAACTAGTAAAGATGTCCAATGAAAAGTTGTCGTAAATAGGACTGTGACACACTTGATAAAAAGCAGACAGGAGATGCATTTCAATTGAATCAAACCCTTTATGAAGCCACATGACCAAAGTGATTCAATTATTCTGTTCGAGCGAGCAGAACTTTGTTCAGGATATGGAGCTACACTCTTATACAAGAGATGCTCTTAAATAAATACTTTGAATTTTGATACATTGATACTGCTCTGCATGCCTGATTCTTAACGTTTTCCCAATAATTCAATTTGCCATCAATATTACATTTTGTCTAATTCAACCAAAATAACTGCTTACCCTTAATGTCTGTGACTAAGAGTATCGGAAAGACAGATGGCTTACTCTCCAAATTGACAAATGGTTCCCAAAACACATTAAGAAAATTGCTCTGATTCAGTTCTTAACCTTTGATTACAGTATAGAGGCCGAGATGTGCGGAGGTTTTATAAGGTCAGGCAAAGGTTTCTGCTGTGTCTTAAAGGAAAGTGAAATTTGACTGAATAACTTTTGAAATGTGTGCTCCTGGTAAGGTATTGCACATCAAATGCTGCAGTTAAAAAAATCTGCTTCCTGGATTCTCTCTATTGAAGGTGGGTGAAACGCTAACTTCAGTGTAAACGAGCACTAGAGAAGCGCATGAGACAAGCACAAAGAAGGAGAATCACACAAGCAGCACACACCTTACCTTCCTTAGCAGGAAGTCTACAGAAAAAGTGTGTATCACATGCTGTAAAAAGCACAAGCAGGAGGAGAAAAAGATTCTGTCCCAAGTTCTGCCAAAGCCATTGCTTTTGCTACATCCTCAAATGGCATCAGAACGCCTAATCTATCATAGACTACAAGGGGTAACCCTATGCTGGAGTGGAAACTAGAGCTGGGTGCAAAGGCCACATGCACACACACTAACACATGCAAACAAGTGTTCAAACAGGCTACAAAAACAAAACAACAAAGAGGGTCAGCAGGGGAAAAAATGGGGATATTGCTTCATTAATATTTTGTGTATGCATGGACGTGTATTTGTTTGAGTGTTTGTGTCTGTGTGTGCCGCTAAGACGTCTATATCAGTGACCTGTGTGATGTGCTTAAAGCCCTCTAGACTGGAACTCTGTGATAAGATCCACTGATCTCGCCATGCTTGACTCCCTCACATACGCACACACACACACACACGCACACACACACACACAGAAACACACACACACACACACACACACACACACACACACACACACACAGACACATTCACAAGCATATCACACTTATTTACAGTATCACAATAAATAAATGATAGTCAACAAGTCCATTAAGGCAGTCAACATGTACGGGAAGAATGAATGATAAAAGAGTGCCTTGGTGAAGAGGAATCAGAACTTACAACTTCCACTTTCAGAGCAGATCTCCATCTATTCTTTTACTTAAAACCTCCATCTATGCTGCATACCAAGAGAACATGCATTTTAAAAAACCCTCTGTCTGTTATCTTCCATCACTAAAGCAGAAAAAAACAGAGAAAGTGAATATCTATAGGGGCCAATGATACTTGCCTAATGCAGAGCTCCACAGAGCAGCATTCAGACCTTCTCGATCATACCTCTCCGTCCACACGTTGTAAAACATATTTGTACTCGCAGGCATGTAAGGAAGCTGCCTCCTAACTCTTATAGAACTGGAGCATGTGCAGACAACTAGTCCTACAGCTAGGATACTCATGTCATCGCTGTTTAATCTGCATGTCTTTTTTTCCCCTTTATTACTTGTATAATTATTAGAAAAGTCACTTGTGTTTTATGTCCTTTGAATGTCTTGAGGTTCAAACATGTTAAAGTGCACACACAATGTTACAAGGTTTTCATTAAGCTTCTTACTCTGATGAATGTCATTATGACGACCTGTCATGTATAGTCATTAATGTAAGAATTCATCCACCACTTCTGGAACTAGAGGACTAGTTTAATTTCTTGCATTGTCCTTTAAAAATGTCGGGATGTCAGCAGCTAACACACACATGAAAATGCAAAAAAAGTCACTATATGAAAAAGACACACCATGCCAAAATATTCTATTGTGCAGTGGCTAAGATACAATGATGAACATTAAAACATAAATTATTTTCTTTGCAATGATATTGATGAAGATTTTGAAATCAATCAAAATCAAGTCAAATGTATTTTTGTTGACATTTGGGTATTTTATTCACACGTTCAAGCTATTTGCATTTTATTAAAAACAACATTATTAAAGGGGGAGCTTTAGTCTTGTATGAAAATGAATTTATTTGTGTGTAACGACGGGACTGAGGGCTTGCAAGCTACAACTCAGAAGAACGATAAAAAAGGGAATTATGAATAAATATAGTTAACACATTAAACCTATAAGTGTATAATATTTTACATTAAAAGTAAACCACAAACTCTAATACATGTCCTTATGCATGGAAGAGTTCCCTTTCACTGAAGACAAAATGCTTCTATGGTGACATGGTGACCTTGACTCGTTTTTATAACAGCCTTAAACAGAGGTGTCATTTGGGGCCCACGCCACTCCATGGTGCTCTGACTGTTCTCGCTATGCTATTTATACACAGGGGGAGAAACCCATGAGAGAACAACTCCCAGTGCATTTCATGCTCTAATGCACAGAAATACAGTCAAGCAGTGGTATAAGTGGTTCTAGAAAAAAAAGAAAGTGTGGTCAGACTATATAGTAATCCACGAGAAATATGGCCTTGGATGCTGTTCTGAGAAACTGTACACTTTAGTGGGCTAACCGCTCTGACTTTACCACATGTGTGTAAACATGAACAGATGTTCAGGCAGATCGAGCTTAACCACAAGCCAATCCTTGCTAACCGGTCAACAAGATGTGCATGTGAATGTCCAATGTAATCCTAAGGACACAATGTCCAATATTTACCTTAAAATTCAAACCATTTTTTATGTTTACCAACATTTATCTGGTTTGATTAAGAATTAGTTTATGATTGTATATAACCTCCTGTAACACCCATGTGAGTGGCTCAACATGCATCATGCACAGTTTCAAAAGACAATATAAACCTATGATAAATAAAATAAACATATTAATTATTACTGAATAATGTGACAACTTATTTATGTCTGCTTTTCTATGCAAACACACACAAATACACACACTCTCTCTCTCTCAACCTGATTGCATTATGTCACATTTCTGCCTCACTCCTTTCAAAAATGACATATTATGTTCTTAGTTGATTTTTTCAAAAGGTCAAAAGCTTTTTTTAAGAGACAAAAACAGTTTATTACCGACATCATGTCTGCAAAACCATCAGCTCAAGTTTTAAGTACGTTTGTCTTTATGTGTGTGTCTGTAATTGCACTTGCACCGGAGGCTTCAAGGGGTCTTTTCCTTGCTGGTGATCTTGGCGAATATTGCACATTTTAACCTTAGTTTGCCTGCTTTGGTCATATCTGTTGATCAGATTCTAGTAGTCATCTGGACGGATCAAAATGGTTTGAAAGTGACTCTTCTTCCTCCATGGACTGTTTTCAGAATTTTGTACATTTCAAGATTTTGATACTGAATAATATTAAGTTATATATTATTATATTGTATTGTACTAATACTATGATGCACTACATGCTGAATAAACAAAGCAGTTAAAATGTGCATTTTCTTTGTAACTACCTCTGAAGCTTGTGTTTTAAATGTGCACGCAAACTGCTTGAAAAAAACAGCCTCACCTTATTTCACCCTATGAGACTTTCGCTGTCTTCATCACAAACTGAAACCCCAATTCCAAGATAATATTATCACACGAATAAATCTTTGACAGATGTTTGCAGCTGAGCAAATTCTGAGAATCTGCTAAACGAGCTCTCACGCTCTCATGCGCACGCTCGCACGCACACACACACACACACACACACACACACACACACACACACACACACACACACACACGAGTGTCCAAACATTACTGTTAACTTTTCATTACAGGCCGCATTCTCATGTTGATTTTTCAGTAAACCCCGTATGGCTGACCTTGTGGGTTGTACCCTTTGTTTTGCTCCTGTCCTGACGTGGTGTGGGGTTTCTGGCTGTGTGAGGGCATTGGTTGGGAGAGCTGGTATTTTTGGACGAGAGTTTTGACCCTATTAAGCAGATTAATACAGGCTGGGGAGCTCAGTGCTATAAGCCGAGGGATCTCTTCTGTCAGATCAACACTGATACTAGTGAGCCATCACAGATAGGCACACAAACACAAAAAGTTACAAACCCCCACACACATCACACACACAGACACACGGGGGAAAGTCTGCCTGAGATGTGTTTCTTTAATGTATCAGACAGAAAGATTCAGTACATTGGTCACTGTTTACGCTTGTTATAACCTGATAGGGAAACTAAAGTATATTTTAAGTGTGGTTGCTAAGGTGATGCTAAAAACACTCAATGTAAAGATGAAAACTAAGTTAAAGTTCATTAATTACAAATAAAGCTACATGGTTTAGTAACTCAACTGAAATTAACTGGCAAGTTTTTTTTCAATAAGACAGTCATTGATGATGGCCTTTTTTCACAAGCAAAAGCGTTTAAATCGTGCAAAATTGAATATTTGCAATTTCATATGCTGAAGTATAATTAATTTATTTTAAATTTGGTCTGCTTCTGTTTAACACACAGTTTCCACTGACCTTAGATTACCAAAGCTGAATGCTCCCATGCTATGAATATAGTCATAAAAGACAAGGGTTATTCCATATGTTCAGTATTTATGGGAAAATGATACATTACAATAATCACAAATACATCAATAGTGCACGTTGTTATAGTGTATGAAAAAAAACACTGACAAATCTGCTGTGCACACACAACATAAAAAATTCCGAAATAAAAAGCTCCACTACCAGACAGTATAGTGCAGATGGCCATTGAGAGAATATTTTTAATTAACAAGCATCTATTATCCTAACAACAGATTTTTAGAATATCATAACCCTCTCTCTCTCTCTCTGGAGCTTTTAAATCACTTACTCAAAGATGAATTACAAATGTCCATTTGGTAATGCAGTTCACATAACCAAAGCCAAACGCTGCTGCTCATTAATGGAGCTAAATATAGTATCAAAATGGAGCATCAGTGATATTTAGCGTGTTGCACTCATTGGATGTTTGTGAGCACATGTGTGTGTTTGTCCATGTGGGGTGGGTCCTCCAAGGACAAAGGTGAGCAAATGAAACACAAACATTGGGACATAGAAACTGCACAAGTGAAAAATGTGTAAAGCAAGGTATGAACTAAAACTCAAGTGTTATGTGTCTGCTTCCAAGTCATTTAACATCCTCTTAAAAGCGTCCAACAAGACCTGCTCATTAAGTTTCAGCTCTTTTTGTAACTCACTCCAAGTAAAAGGGAGAAGCAAACTTAAATGCCTTTTTCCCAATTTCATTGTGACTTTTGAAACAGACAGCCAGAAAAGATCCTTGGATCGAGGATTATAAGTCCCTGTACTCTTTTGACCGATGGAGGTCAGAAAGTAGGACTGAAGTAGACCTAAGATAGACTTTTGTTCAAGTGCGGTCAAAGAAGTCCATCCAACATGTGCATACAACAAACAGTGATGAACTGACTTATATCTCAAATGAGGAATAAATACACAATTAGTACACTACCACTACAAAAAATACATACATACATTCTTATTGAAGCATTATCATTCAAAAGGTAATAACTTATTTAATGCTAAATTGACATGAGTGTGATGTAAAGACCAAGTGACGAAAGTAAGTGATCTTATATAGTGTGCACTGCTGTGTTACAACTGAACTTAAAGCTCAAGAGGAACTGTAGATTGGTAATCATACACAGCCAAGCTCCCGCTGACTGCAATATGTTAAACATCACCAATTCAGTAATACAGAAAATATTGCTCATCGTATTGCCCTCATGCCATGAGAGCTGAAAAGACATTTCTTAGAATTATGCTAGAAAACATTGAAATATAATTTTTTTTCCCTACACTTCACTACAGAATATGAATTTGGAGGCAGTTTATTGTCTACGTGCAGTCTCTGCTATGGTGCATTCATAAGATGTAAGCTGCTGATGCTGACAGGGGTGTGTCTGCTGGCTCCAGGCCAAGTCCCAGTGCACAGCAGCTGGGGCCACAATCCTCACTTGGCCTTTTGACAAGTCTCACACACACACACACACACACACACACACACACACACACACACACACACACACACACACACATAGGGCAAGGGGAAGGGAAGCCAGGCAGAGTACAGCCAAAATCACTTCCTAATGAATCAAAAACTTCCTGCAGAGAATCTATAAATGGCACATACACTGTCGGCCTGCTTTAAACTTCACTTTAGAATTAGATGTTTTTTTTCCCGCAGGTACTGGCCACTGTCATTTAGTCAGCTAGATGGACACCGCAACCGATTTACAAGATTTTGGGCCATTTTATTGTTTATGTGCCACTCACTTGCAATTTAAACATTTTCCCAATGAACCTCATGAACCAGAAGAACCTAATCAGAAGCTAAATGATTAAATTTCCACAGTCTTCATCTTCATACCAGCATGGCCAGATTTATGCTGCAATCCACTGAAAGAAACGCATATGAGAAGCATATACTTTAACACTGAATATTCAAAACAAAGTTATCAACACTCATGTTCTTTCATAATGTCTTCAAGGATTCATCAGGGTGGAGGGGTTTGATGACATTTTATAACTCTGACTAAACACCTCAGCAGCTGTCATCAGATACTGCTTCAAATGTTACTTAATCCATTATGGTGACATAATATTTTTACAACATTGCTCTGTCCACTTAAAACCAAGTGAGAAGAATGAGAGTAGAAACATCACTGTAGAAAGAGAAAATGTCAAGATCATACAGTGTCATATTAAAGTTATATTGTGATTTGTTATTATCTCTGCAAAAAGAAGGCAAGTTGCTCAAAAGGAGAGAAAATGTTCTTGTTATATTAACCTCAGAAACAATGAAAGAGACACCCTCAACTCTGGATAACCCCCTCCCCCTCCCTCCAGTCATAACCTTGCCATTCTTCCTCTGAAGTGGGGATTACGCCTGTATCATTTACAGGAATTTTATGACAGTTTTTTTAGAAGCCTTTTATTGTGCCGGATACAGACAGGGTAAGTATCTGGCCATCTGGTCCAGCTCTCTTTTACATATCGCTAAGCTTAAGTGGCATCAAAACAAGTAATGCAAGTGAATGACATCCAGATATATACACACATACAGATGCTATAATACCCACTGACTCAATGAAAACATCTGCTGACAAAATAATTCCCCTTTGGCCCCTAAAGATTTTTCTGTTGTTGTTGTCTTAGTTACAGCTTAAAACATTAACATCATGAACAGACTGAGTATAGATGAAGTCCTCATGTATGTTGTCTCTTGTTTGTATGTCTTTTTAAGCTGCTATTGTAATTGAATCTCCCCTTTAAAGGAGTGTAACAAATCTGATTCATACCAGTGCTTGAAAATGTAACCACAGGTGGAATTAGACGGGACTATCAGTCAATGATAGTGTGTGTGTGTGTGTGCCATGACAGGTAGATGGAGGATGGAGTTGCAGGGGAGATTGACAGCTTTAGATGAAAATGTGTTGCTTGAAGGATGGAGGAATCTCTGTTCAGATAGTTTGCTGAATGCAGATTAGTATCAAACAGGATACACATGGAGATGACAGTCTTTCCATATTTAGGGTTCAATAGGCTACATTAAGTCAAAAAGTATGGGATGTGTTTAACAAGATTTTGAACATGAAAAGGTGCAGAAAGGAAATTGACAAAAGGGCAAAAGTGCTGTTCTCAGGTTATTCGTAGAGCAGTTTACTTCAAGGTCCAATTTCTTACATCTTAAAGACAAACCTCCTCCTACTTTCTTCACAACATGTCTGTGTCGGGTGGAAAAGCCACTTTGTTGCTCAAAATGTAAAATAGATCACATGATGAACTCATGTAACATCAGAACTGTTGGGGCATGCCTGTTTTAAGTCAAGTGGGAGGTGCTGCATTAAAAAAATCGTGAACATCTTCCAAAACATCGAGATAGGGAAGCAATAAGCAGGGCATTAAACTTACTGTCCAGAAGTAAACACAAGCAGGTGGAGTCAATGCCAATGTTTGGTATGCAGTCACAATAAAATTAGGATTATCAATTGAGTCAATCAATTGCTATTTAAAAAAGTATGGAAGATTTCAATCTGAAAAATATTGCTCGTGCAGTGCGTAACTGTGTGGTTAAAAAAAAACAACAACACAGAGACGATGTAGCACTTGTTGCATCAGACTGTTACCAGAGAAGAAAGTGGCCTACCTGAAACACAGCGTCGATCCTGCTCACTCCTTTCTTTCTTTCTTGGTGAAAGTTCGGTGCTCCGGGCCGTGCCGGAGGCATGGTTAGTGCGCACTGGATCGGCAGGCCACCTCGCGCGTCCTGTCACCCCCTGGTTGACCGCACCGACAGCAGGCATGGCGGAGGTGCCCCCGCCAATCACCCTGAGGCCAGATGTGAGAGTGATATAACAACAGCATGATTACGTTTAATTTGGCCAATTCCCCGCTTGCAAAATCCCTGTTTTTCTTAGTCCTCCAACCAAAGCTGTATTTGCCTCTCTATCTCGAGGGGAGGAGAGCGCGAGAGAGATAGAGAGAGAGAGAGAGAGAGAGAGAGAGAGAGAGAGAGAGAGAGTTTGTGTGAGAGTGAAAGACTAAGCTGATTAAAAAAAGGTTGTTTCCTAACCCCCTGCCTTATGCTCTCTTGACCATCATCAGTCATAAAAACTTGGTCTTGTGAAATCCATAATCTGACCCAAGGGTATTTTCCTGTTTTTTTAGCAGCATAAAACACTAAATTAAAGGATCACCCATCTTTTTGAAACCATTGCTGACATGTCCTGTATTTTTTTTTTCTGCTGCAATTTTCTGTTCAGAGACATTGCCACCTAAAGAATGCCAATTTTGAACCCCTAAAGTCACATACTAAAAAAAATCAGGTGCGCACAAGTTAATATCTTGTTCTATAATAACTTGTGGGAACAAGGTCATTTTATTATATGATATATTTTAATATATTATGAAGTAATGTACTTAGTTAATATCTTCTATATCACAAGTTTTTTTTTTTTTTTTAACCTTATTTAACCAGATAAAGAACCCATTGAGATCAGGATCTCTTTTACAAGGGTGACCTGGCCAAGAGGTCAGCAGCACATGTCCTAAGAACAGTTTCAATGAAGTGACAGCATAGATTAACCAACGTATTGTTTTCAATAAAAAAGAAAGTGCGGGAGCTGTGACACAACAATAAAACACCAATTTAAGATTTTAAAAACACAGGCACTGTTCAATATTCAAAGTGCACAAAAATTCATTCAAAGTCCAACTTGAGTTCACATGAGGCCTCAGCAGTGTGATTTACAGTAGCCCTATGCGATCTGTGTTTTACTGGCATTGCAGAAAGGAGACATTTAATACAATTTTACTTCAGGTGTTCTTCACAGACGGACAGGATTATTGAACGAACGACAGAAAGTTACAAAATATCAAAACAAAAGCTGCGGTCAGAAACTGGATTATATTTAATGTCTATAAATAAACCATTTAAATCACAATTGTACTTCCTGGCCACATCTTAGGTCTATAGTCTCCCATAATATAACTGAAGCACCCACATTTTGGTGAGAAACAAAACATTGAGTGTTGTATAGGCTAGCTGCCTGCAATAGTTACAAGTTTCCACCCCCTAGAGGTCTCACTGCATCTTTGAAATGTTTCCCCCGGGATTGTGTGTGTGTTCTTTGTTGTTATTGTTGCCGACGGACCCAGCCAACACAGACCCATGTGGCACCACTGTATCATATTTTTCACAACTCCTTCTGGAGTAACAAACTTCTTCCTGCATCTTTTTTTTCAACATATAGAGAAATACTCACACAATCCATAAACTGAATTTTATATGTCACACCAGTTAGGCAGTCAATACTTGATTTTAATCGAACAAAATTAGGCTTTCAGTTTTGTTCGGCATTGCTTACATTGGTTATGGCCTAAGAAAACTATTTTCAGGAATCAGAGAACATGAAAAAAGGTGCTTGTGAGTGCTTTAAAGTGGATTTGAAAACAAATAAGAAACTGAATTTAATGCTTTTGAGTCCTGCATTGAACTAAGTTATTCAACCATGGACAATTGCACCTGCACCACAATTTTATCTAGTGATATCCAGAAGTTACCATATTGCATTACACATTGACCATGCATGTCATGATGATAAACTCCCCCTGCTTTAATGAAATTGACTTACTGCCTTGCTTGCTGTCATTATATTAAAATCCTCTCATCACTGTTTAAACGGATGTGTTTGGCACAGATGAGACCACTAGCTGACCCCTGGAAGACCACTGAAACCTCAGGCAGGGGAGGAGCTGCCTCTGTCTGCCCCCTTCTGACTGAGCATAGATCAGTTCAAGGTCACATTGAAGTGTTCTGTATGGATAGGCTGCCCTCTACAGGCCTATGGCAGTACTTAACTTAAAATCTCTTAGGCACACTAACCAGTCCCCAACAATTTCTCATGAAATATTAACACTTCTGCATAATTTTGGACTTTAAGGTAAGAATGTACAATTCCCAGTAACAACATCTTTAAAAATGTTTCATTACATGAATCATATCTTAAAGAGTACATGCAATATAGTCTACACTTTGCAGAACAAAACTGCCCTGTAGCATACTGAATAATTGACCTTCAAGTTTTCCCAATAGACCAACATGCATATCTAGACTCCAGCCATGGATGGTTTTTGTAACAAACCAATTAAAATTCTAAATTGAAACATGAATAAAGCATGAATAAAGGACTAACCGAATTGTCTTTATTTATTTCATGCTTTTCTTGCATATTTTAGGCTACAGTACATTCAACTTTTTTAAATCAAAAATCGAAATTTGCCATACACTTCAATTAATTTGCTCCATCTTGCAGTTTGAATGTGCCATCTTCAAACTCTCCAAGTCATGATCTTATTAAATGATCCAACATACTCATAGTATGAATCTCACTGTCAGCTTTGCAGTTTCCAAAGAAGTGTGCATAATTCTGTCTGTTTGTGTTTCCATATTTAGTGCTGTCTTAACTGCGTGTTACAGCAGGCCTGACCTCCTGCTCTTCTTTCTCTTACTCACACTTCTGTGTTTTTCATATCCACCCTACACAGCTGTTACTGCACACACTGGTTTCAGAGACACAAGAATAGGCCAAAGAAAGTGGGCGAGGGGTAAAAGAAAGGGTACCAAGAAGATTTTGTACAAGTCTGTTTAACTTGCTTTTAAGTTTTTGTGATTAGCAATGCTTTTCTTTTCAATGTCTAATATGATTATTCTGATTCTGGTCAGGATAATAAAACACAGACTTGTTAATGATATTTTGTGTTAATCTCTAGTCTGTGATCCATTAAAAGTTGCTGTAATGTTTATTCCATATAAAGAGGATTAGTCTCATGGGTTCTGTGCTTTAACAGGCGCCAGATGGAGGGACTAAATGAACCCTTAAATTTGAGGTACAATTACCAAAGCTAATTAACCATTGACTGCTACAGTTCTCAAGTCACACAGTCCATTAAGTAACCAACCTCTGTTGCATACTCGATAAGTACACTGAGAGGTATCACAATAAGATCTTATCTGTGTGTACTGTATAAGTGTGTTTTTTTTGTTTGAGCCTTTAGTAAGGAATGCAGGTAGAAAATCTTTAAACCAAATTTGAACTTGCAAAATCAAAAACAAGTAACACACCTGCAGAAAGACGGAGTGTTCTAAAAAAAGATTGAAGATAAGGACACCAAAAAAAAAAAGGAATGAAGACGTTTGAGATAAGGAGGAATTGAAGAATGGTTTTGTGTTAATGAATTATTTATGTGGGTGGGATATTTTAAGACCCCCATATCATGTCTGAGAGCTATGAGTGGGTGGAGGTACAGAGAGGAGCAGAAAAAAAGGGTATCATTCGCCTGTTTCTGAACTGAGCTGACTCAACCACACATCAAACACAACCTCTTCTCTCCACATGGACTCACATGAAGAATTATTCCAGTCCTTGGTGTTCATCAACACACTTCAACATCAGAGAAGAATGTCCCTCTGTGCTCATGTGAATTGGTTTACACTGGCATAAAGGGGATTGACGTTTTATTTTGTAAGGGCCTCTCAAACACTGTTAACAGTTTCTGACAGTTTTACCTTTTGTCACAGAGCTCCATACTTCTTTTGAATGTAAAACAAAGCAAAGTAGAAATGAAACAAAGGCCTTTTATGTAAAAATCAAAGCTAAATAAGACATTATGTCCAGCTTTGTGTTCAACATGAGGGGTAGATAGGCTCGCAGAAAGGATGAATGAAGGAGGGGTTTGTTTACAGGTGAGTCATTTGGATAAATTTTACGAGACTCTAGAGGGAAAATATGAATCACAACTAAGCACAAAGGGTAACTTTAACGACCGCATCCTCCTCATTCCTCTGTAGAGCCAGTCATTGAAATATCACATGTCGTTAACTGTTAGGGGTATCTGTTTGCAGTTTTAAATCTGTTTCATTGTCTAAGCATTTGTGTTTCGTAAAAATACCTGATGCATTTATGTTCTTACTATGATGCCAGTTCAGTGTTTGCACAAGAACCATGCAAGCGTCATGTTGAGTGTCAGCCCAGATACAAAGATAGCTCTGCAGGAGAGACAAACCTTTCCATTTTAAAACAGACTTGTTTTTTTGTCATGGAGACCTATTGGCAGAATGGGATTTTGTGCTGTTTTCATACTCTGCTTCCTACTTGTTGTTAAAGGAGATGATACTATTTTCAGCAGCCTGCACAGAGGTTGTCTCAAGAGTAACTGAGTCTCTGTAATTAAGACAGCACTGGTTGCCTCTTACAATGTTTATGCTATAAAGAGAGCATTGTATATTCCTTTGTTTTATCATGCATCATTTTTGGGAGTCTTTTTTCTATAAAGGTAAATGCAATGTTGTTCACTGCCTTTTCACATAGCTTTTATTTTTCTTGATTTGCCTCCACATGTTTATTGTTGTAGCACACTTAACTATAAAAAGATGGAGTATAGTAAAGACACAGCTTGCCTTGGAATCTTCCCTGACCTCTTTTGGGGGAATTCTCTGTAAATGGATGAACTTATCAAAATGTTTCCTTATCTGCAGGACAAAGTGCCTGTACAATGCAGGAAGAATATGTTTGGAAAATGTTTGGCTGCAAGTAAAGGTGTAAGGAGAGCAGCCTGCAGAGTGTGGGTCATACACATAAATCTATTCAGCTCATTAAATACATCGACAGACTGAAGCTCCCCAGTGGCTCTTTTCTTGTCTTATACGTCCACCTTCTACCCACTCCAACTCCACCACCTCTATCACACACTATATATCAACCATACATTACAAGTCACAGTCCTTTGGTGGTTACACAGTCCTTTGGTGGTTAAACTGTAAAGTGATTAGGAGATATTCCCTGTAAACACAAAGGGAACCTGCTGTGGGCTATTTATAGTAGCTTTCACAGTGGGGAGAGCAGTGATTAAAAAAGGGTTTCCCCTCCTCCACATGTACAGATGTACACACAGTATGGTTCTCCCTATGGATACTGGTGTGCTATAAAGGAAGTCCTGGTTGACAAGCCATTAACTGGGCTGGGTATTAGGTTACAAATCAGCTCGTACTGAAATGTGCAAGTGTTCACAGCTTGTGAGACATTCACGTCTATTACAAATTGCCTTGTGCAACATTCAAACACAAGCGCAATCTATTAAAGTGACAGGCCTAAGATGAGAAACTGGGTAGGGAAACTATTTGTAATATATATTTCTTTAATCATTTTCTGAGGGCCGCAATAAATTATCTAGTAAAAATTTCAAAGAGGCAAAAGAATCATGTGTGCTTAAAGAGGGGAAATATTCATTTTTGATAGTAAGTAAGCGGCATCTTAAAATCTGTTTGTAGATGTTGTCTCCTAAAAAAAGACCTTAAGTCCTAAGAAACTTATCAAACCTATTTGCAATATAATAATTGTAAAATAAATTTGGGTCCATGTTACATCATTTTGTAAATAAAGCCTATAGCAAAAGCAAGACGACTTGTAGAGAAACTTCGCTATTGGCTTTATATGAATTCTGTCATTTTCTGGTTGTCACTTTAAATCATTTTGCTAAGGAGACAAACGATGCAGGGTGATCTATTGGTGATATATGATTTGATCATTTTATTGTGTGCACTATTGATTGTTTTATAAATATTACCTCAAAAACAAAGGAGTAGGGCATAGGAGAAGAACCTTGCAGGACAACCTATTGCCTTAACATTCATTTGATAATTTTCTGATGTCTGCTTCAATCTTGTCCAATCATAGCTGGGATTGGCTCCACTTTCCCATGACCCAAAACAGGATAAGCAGTACAGATAATGGATGGACTGTGGAAAGATGCTTAAAAGCATGTTTGTATATGTTACCTACAAAATATAGCGTGGGGCCTTAGAAGAGAAACCCGAAAGGAAATCTATAAATTCATGCTATCCTTTACTGGTGGACACCTTAAATATTTTCATTAACCTTATAAACTGGAAGACAAGACCAGGGAAATACCATCTAAACCACAAATAAGTGATAAACTGTAGTTGGACATTTGGCTGGCTTTTAAGAGTACTCGAGTGGAGCTCCTGTTTAATACATATAGCTAATCAAACAGCAATCAGAGGATCAATAGCCATCAGTTATCTGGAAAGCTACCAGGATACTGTCCTGAGCTGACATCCCAGAACCCTGCCAACTGAGACGACCAGAGGAAGCATTATACTCCTGCTAATATCTGTCTGAGAGGAGAATCAGATCATCCATTCTACATTACTCTTGTGCTTAGAGCTGATGGAGAAATATGAGAGAAGACAATGATAGAGAGGAAAAACTCCAGCAGTAGCAATGAGAGCAAAAAGGCAGAGGCAACAAGAGGCGGTGTTCCACTCTCTGACATGACACTGATAGAGAGAATGTTTGTACTCGTCTCACTCTACAGTGAACCAGAGTCAAGAGCATTTTGTACTTCTCCTTTCTCTTCCTCTATCGTCTTGGTCTTTATAAATAGACCACTTCGCTTTCTCAGTAAACTGCAGAGAGAATAAGATTCACTTAAGGAGAGAAGCAGGACAGAAAAACATTGAGGAGGGAGCGTCCATAATCGATTCAAAGATACCTTTTGTAATGGACATAAGGGCATCCACTCCAGTGGTGCTTTTTATTAATTTATGTATATGCAGCTAATCCAACTGTTTCAAATCTTCTGTTAAAATAACAACCATCCTTGTAGTTTTGGCTCAATATTCACAACAGGTTCAATCACATTAATCACAAAAAAAAGAACAACAGTGGCCCGAGGTTATCATAAAGATGTTATTATTGACATTATCATCAGCATTAATGTTCATAATAGTTTTATGATTTACATTTATTCTAATGATGAACATATTTCTCCATGGATTTTCAGTAATAATCTGTTCATACATTAGTCCTGGTGAATGGTATGGCAAATGTAAGGATCCATATTTACTTTGTGTGTTATAATAGACAGGTTGCCTTTTCCTTCACATGGTAAAAAAAAAGAGAAAAGGATTTCTACAGACAGTTAAGTCCCAACATGAGTGGATATCACAGTACAGTGAAGAAGCTGAGTACTTTCTAAATGTATTGACTGACATTTGAGACTGTAAAGTAGTAGAAGAAGTACGTTTGAGGTGTTTGGAGGTAAATGAGTAAATACAGACAGAATCCATTGACCAAGGCCTGCATGTGTATTTCATTCAAACCTCAGCTCCTGCAGCTCCAGCTGAGCAAGAATAACATTCAAATAGAAAATAACATAGTGAAAAAAAACAAGTTTATCTATAATACATACAGTGTCTGATGACACAAATAAGTTAAAGTTCTCATAGAAATCATATTTCTTCTTCGATTATATGTCATACACTCCCACCTTTCGTCCCTGGAGCATATTAAACCTAAGACATCATTCACAGACGATACACGTTTAGTTTCTTTGATTAATTCAGCAAGCATACACTTTGATTCCCTGCTACACAGCGATCTGTACACGGCAGAAGCTCATTTTAAAGCTGAAGCTTTTAAGACATCATTGAAAGCAGCTGTTACTCTTGAATACATTGTCTACATGGCTACGTGTTTTTCACCACCGGTAGTGGATAGAAGTCTGTTCACTGTGTGGCCTTTTAAGTTTGATAGAACCGGTGATGTCTGTTTTTCCAGCAGAAGTGGCCACAAAGGTGTATGGTCAGGCAGTGTGTGTACACAAGTGTGTACACCAGCTATGCATGTAACAGTATCCGGTGTGTGTTTGAAAAGTCCTCTTGTCAGTGTTGTGTCATACAGCGAATACATGTTTTCCTTGGATCAGATTGTCCTGATGTACCGTCCTGCAGTTTTAACTTTCCAGGAGAGGGTTTGCGTCCTGATACAGTGTTGTTTCGATAATGTGCTTGATAACAAGAGTGGAAAAGACGGCAGTACAGACGAAGGTTTCAAGCCACATAAAGTCACATAGGTGTTCCAGTACAAGAGAACAGTTTAGAAAAGTACACATCAGAGAACAAAGCAAAAGAAGGTGTGGGCAGTGCTTATCTTTCACTATCACATAAACCTCCAACCATTATTTCAATTCCAAGTATCTGTCCCTGGCAGTTACAGCAGCTTATCCACATTCCCTCGTTTCTTAGTTTGATATACTACATGCCCTTCTTTAGTATATTCACAGGCAGTAAAAGGTAGCCTACGCTAAATTAGAATAGAATATACAGAGCACCATATCGTTCTGGCCTGGAGTCAAGAGGAGCGTTTTTTTAAGACTGCACCCACATTGTTCCTTAAGCTTTCACCCTCAGCTTGTGTGTACATAAAAGCTCTTTGTTTCTCTCACAATCTCTTTCTATCACACACACACACATAAACATAGTAACTGTACACAGACAACATTACACACAGCGTGATGGGCCTATACATCAGTGATAATGGCACTCAGACAGTCCCTTGGAGCTTAATGATACACTTGGCTGAGCAAAAAGTCTGTCGATTTGAATCCCTGTGCATCAACTGTACTAGCAGCAGATCTTGTGCTTTCACTGCGATATACAGCTGCTGGGTTGTGATTGTAACTGAATCTAAAGACATTAAAGCTGAAGGCAGCAGGATACTGACCTATGGAACAGATAGCTGCTTCGGCTTTCTGTGTTTTGGAGTGAGTCTGGTTTTCTCTTCCCTCTTCTGCAGCTCCTTTCTCAATCCTTTCTAACAAATCTTTTCCTGGACACATAACCCCTCTTTGGGTAAATACTTCACATGTATCATGACAACAGTATTTCAGACAGCAATGGCAAAGATGATGCGTTATGCAAAGCTTGACACATACTTCTAAAACAAGACTTGTCTTTCATACAGTATATTGCACATTAGTATTAGTACCTCTAGAGATATAGGAGTATATGCATGTCGGTTTGCTTCTAAAGAATTATTCATATATTCATGCTACAATGAATACTTTGATGGACATGCAGTTTAACGATAGCAGAAAAGCATCTGTTAGATATAAAGCCGATGAAAAACATGTTGCTTAGGTCCTGAATTATAGGAGATATGTGCCAACGGAATGATTTTCAGATACCATAAGATTGAAAATAAAATAATGAGATAAAAGTCAAACAACACAGAACTGGTGTACCAGGGTTCAGCACAATTGTCCACCTGACCTGATAATTGAGATTGAAGACACTTGTTGCAATTCAATCTAACAGGGAAGGTACATTGAAAGGCAGGCACAGCTGACTTATTTTGACTTTTTGTTTAAGTTGGGGATATATAAGAAAGAGGGCACTACAGGCTTGAATTGAACATTCATTTCGTTTTTAAGGGCATTTTGATGAACCATGCTCCTGGAATAACCATAGCACAGTGATGAATGTGAATGCTGGGATTTTCTTTTTTCAGCAAAACTGGCAGTAGATGGCCCCTAAAGGTCATTTGAATTGAAAACTGAGCTCTTCCTTTGATAATCAACTTTTAGAATCCCCATTGGGACATTTTGAGTCCTGAAACCCTTAACTATTCATAGATGAAACTACAGTATTAAAATCTCACTGTTTTCTCTCCTTAATCTCAGGGAATCAATTTCTCTTTAACCTCATTGAATTTTTTTCTAAAAACATGGAATGCAAGAACAGCATCAAACCAGACATTACTCACTGCATGTCTTTCGCAGTGCACCTGGGTGATGCTTGAAGAGACACTTGAAGGTGCCGTTAAACGACTAACGGAGAAATAGGCACTCACTCGGAAAACTACAGAGGAAACATTCACCATGTTTCTTTGTAAAACTGTAAAAAAAAAATGTAATTGACAAGCAGACAATCATCATATTGCTAAAAATGAACACAATGCATCAAATCAAATGAGCACACAAAACTAAATGATGAGGCTTTCCCTTTGTTTGGACATTTCTTCTAGCCTGCACTGGCTGTTAAGAAAAATAGGCAGAGCCATAGCGAGAGTGTGCACACACTGTACGCTTGGACATCATCATGGAAAAATTGCAGGATAAAAAGGTGGTCTGTAATGGGGGGGGAAATTACAGAATTACAGCACATCACTGTCCTTTATCTGTTGGTCTCTACAGAGATTGTACTAGACTAATATCTAGTAAGGGCCAAGGGAGGAGTGCTCATACCCTCAGGCCTCTTCTCAGACAAAAAACATTAGTATTGCTCTCTTGCTTTCTGTTTGTAATTCAGTTTTCCCCCGACAGAACAGCTGCGATATCATTGATTTGGTTTTTCTCTGAGTCAGGACCTTGGCAGTTACAGCAGCAGATTAAAGTTGCTCAGGAATGCTGATAGTATGGTCTGTTATTAATCACAACTGAATATGTAAAGTTACATCTAAAAGTCAAATGTATGTTGATCTCAGTAATTTTTTATCGTGCATTTTCTTCCACGGCGGCAGTCTGAGCAAGAGTGTTTCCTTATGCTATTATCAATTATTACTTATTAGGCTACTACGTGGCTAATGTTGCGCGCAGAATGACTACTGGCACACTGGTAAGACTATCTCCATGCAGACACTGACAATGTCCTAAATAAGACGAGTGGCAGATCGATAGTATGGGCCTTGGAATGTCAGAGAACATAAAGTCCTCCATACAATCAAACATAATCCCTTCCTTCTGCTCTAGACACCCAAAGAGGGCGTCTTATGGTCAATACAAGGAGTCACACCTACATCCTCCAGTTATAGTCCTTGTAGACCCCGGCTCAAGTAAACCATCTACAGCAGCTTACATTATACATCTGTACGCATCTTAGTGATGTTGACATAGTTTGTGTTGGCCAGGGTACAGTTCCCTGTTTTCATGGCCTCTGGTCTGAAGTCATCAGTGCTGTGGTTCACAGCCTCTTGGATCTCCACATAGTCCGACTTACTGAGCGTGGATCCACTGCCACTCCGACCGCACTTCTTCAGATCGTCGGCTGAGCTGGCTTTAGGCACACTTGGGCTATTCAGATACTGTGCCTGCTCTTCGCCCTCCGTCTCTCTGTGGTAGAAGTAGTTGAAGTTTGACACAATGACGGGTACAGGCAGGGCAATAGTCAGCACGCCAGCGATAGCACAAAGAGAGCCCACAATCTTTCCTCCGATGGTTGTTGGGACCATGTCTCCATAGCCCACTGTGGTCATCGACACAACTGCCCACCAGAAGGCCTCTGGGATACTGCTGAACTGGGAATTTGGCTCGTCTGCTTCCGCGAAGAACACGGCACTTGAGAAGAGGATCACACCAATAAACAGGAAGAAGATTAGGAGGCCTAGCTCTCGCATACTAGCCTTCAGAGTCTGTCCCAGGATCTGCAGCCCCTTGGAGTGGCGTGAGAGTTTGAAGATACGAAACACCCTGACCAGACGAATGACACGAAGAATAGCCAAAGACATAGCCTGCTGCCCTGTCTCTCTGTCCTCAGGCTTCTCTGCAAGCTCTGTGCCCAGGGTGATGAAGTAGGGGATGATCGCCACGATATCAATAATGTTCATGATGTTCCCAAAAAATCCAGCTTTACTTGGACAGGCGAAAAACCTCACTAGGAACTCAAAGGAGAACCAGATGATGCAGAGGGTCTCCACAATAAAGAAAGGATCTGTAAAATAATTTGAAACTTCATAGATATAGGTGGCATTAGACATGGACTGGACTGGATAGTTGTGCATCTCCTCTTCATCATTTCGGAAAACAGGCAGCGTCTCCAGACAAAAGCTTACGATAGAGATAAGAATCACCATGACAGAGATGATGGCAATGATGCGAGCAGGACCTGAGCTCTCTGGATACTCAAAAAGCAGCCATACTTGTCTCTGAAACTCATTCTCTGGCAGAGGCCTCTCCTCCTCTTTTATAAAACCTTCATCCTCCCTGAAGATTTCCATAGCCTCCTCACCCAATTCATAAAACCGGATCTCCTCAGAAAAAATGTCCAGTGTCACATTAACAGGCCGGCGCAGTCTCCCTCCTGATTGGTAGTAATACAAAATAGCATCAAAACTGGGTCGATTCCGGTCAAAAAAGTATTCATTCCGGAGAGGATCAAAATACCTCATCCGTTTCTTAGGATCCCCAAGCAGCGTCTCTGGAAATTGAGAGAGAGTTTTAAGCTGCGTCTCAAAGCGCAAGCCTGAAATGTTGATGACGACCCTCTCACAGCAGTCATGATCCGGCTCTGGGTCGTACTGGTCATGAGGCTGACCTGGTTGTGCTGCTGCTTCATCCAAAGTGTCGCTGGTAGCAACCGTCATGCTGGAAGGAGATGGGTCCTGCAGGATTCAGATAGGGTGGGGCCAAGTCGGCCAGGAGAAGAGAAAGCCTCCACGCACTGGTGGATTCTGGCACAGGCAGATATGCCTTTAGCAAGCTAGGAGACAGAATAGAAAGCAGAGAAAGACTGCAAAAATTAATGCTATAAGAAAGACCACTTGTCATTTTGAATTAATTCATTAAATTAGATTGTGAGCATGCAAATACATAAGCTACACTGGTATATATTTCTGAACAAATGGATTATCTAAATTTGAGATCTTCCCAGAAACATTGTATTATTGGCAAACAAGCAAGAGCAGGAGAGTTGAATATAGCAAGTGGGAGTGTGTGTGTGTGTGTGTGTGTGTGTGTGTGTGTGTGTGTGTGTGTGTGTGTGTGTGTGGGGGGGGGTGATTGGCTCCATTATGTCTATGTGTATTAGGTTTTGAGTTCTCTCTCATATGAGCACACTGCAGGATCAATATGCTAGCCAGTAATACTGGATCAGCTCTCACAGGGTTCAATTACAACCAACGAATCTGATTATGTGCTGAGTGCTCGGTACCATCTTGGAGAAAGTGACCCTGCCTGTATGAGATATGACCAATATTCCCTCCCAGAGCCAAGAGAAACATCATCAATTTATTGATCCAATTAAAAGTTGAATACTTTCTTCAGTACATATTATTAAGTGATGTTTTCAAAGCCAATGGTGGAGTTATTAATTGCATTAGGGCTTAAATGCTCAAACTCCTTAGGCTACTGAAAAAAAACTAGGATTCAGGATTGCAAACAAGACCTTTATACAGGCCAAAAACACTAGCACAGATGCAACAAGGCAACACTTTCTAAAAATAACTCAAAAAAGTCGTACCTTCCTCCTCTGGCACGTGTCAGGCTAGACCACAGACCTAGCAGCAGTGCCTGGTCAAAAGTCAGCCTCCACGGTCAAAGCAGCTCCTCCCTGTCAGCCATATATCACCCCAAACTCCGGCTCTGCAGCAACGCAGCAGTGGGAATGTGAGAGGGGACAAGGCGTGAGGATGCAGGAGTAACCCCCCCTTGTGTGAGTGACCAGCAGACACATGCTGAGATGCAGTTAGGCTACAAGTTGAAGCATGTGGGGGTGTCGGGGTGTGGGGGGCGCTGATGTTGTGGTGGGAGAAAAGCTCATCTTAAAATGCCGGCAGCTGCAAAATATGACGCCCCCTGGATCAGAACAATACGTGCAGCAGCGTGCAACAACAGCAAAGGTGATCCTGCTATCTGCAGAGACTTATTGTGACAGGAGGCGTTGCTTTCAGTGTGGGTTCACTTCACACATGCTCTGGTGGTCTCATCTAAAGTGAAATCACCTGTTTGATCCCCAAGGATGTCTGCATTCAGTTGCCATCAGTGTTTGCCTTTAACTTAAAATAATGTAAATTATCTCAATCAAGTCAGTTCCACTTTCTTTTTTTCTGATGGGGAATATCCATAAGAAAACACCAATGATGCAAATTAGGAACAAATGGAGGCTTATGTTCACAACCCATTCCATGGAGTAACACAGCCCCTTGATAACGTCTATAAAGGTTCAAAACTATTATTTGACCATACATTCTTGACAAAGCAGCCAAATCCATGCACTTGGATATTCAATTACTAAATTAAAGTGTTGTTGTTGATTGGCAAGCACGAGTGAGTTAGTTTGGAATGGCAGGTGCCAGACATGCTCAAGCAATTTGCAGCCCCCTCCTGTGTAGATCATGGACAGCCAAAATAGACTCCATGCACTAAACAAAGCAGCATAGCATTATCTGTCGGTCTGAAGCATCATTTCAGATAATGGCATGCACGGAATTCACCCTGATTCTGTCGGTGTGCTGACGCACGTATGTTTATCCAGTTTGTCTCTTCTTACAAGGTGCCGTGAGGTCGTGAGTCCATTCCTTTAAATCTGTCCTTCTTCCCTTATGTTACTGAGTTCTCCGGCGGCTGTTATCTCATCACGATCAACAGTAGTAGAGCAGCCGGATCTTCCCGAGTCTCTCATATTTCACCAAAATTCACCATAGTTGAGACGCGTGGGCTGCAGAAGGGCATCGCAGCGCATACTAACAGCTTCTTGCGCGCCTCGCCCATCTCCCTGCGCTCCCCCCTCACCCGACACTCATGTCCTCAGTGCTACACATTAAAGGGGAAGAAGCATCGCCCACCACAGGGAGGCAACTGTTTTTGTTCCATTAAACATTAGCGTCTCAGAGGACAAAACAAACAAACAAAAACAAACAAACTAACAAACAAAAAGCAACACTTGACGGTAGAAACTTACAAAACAGAATGAATTGTTTTCTCCAATTTAAATATTGTCCTCTGCATCTACAATTTACTATTTTCCAACAAACTATATCACGTTTTCTTTCGGTCTGGTTAGAAGGCAGGGGAGAGTAGTAAACTAGAAATGCACTATAGGGCCCATCTTTTAAGTCAAACAAGAGCAATACATTCATTGAATGATGATGTTTATGGCTAGTACAGCATGTGCTCACACATTGTGTGCCACATGTGAGGTCCTTCAAACAGGATACAGAGGATGGCTCCAGTACTGTTGAGTCCCAGATTATGCTCTGATCATATCACTAATTACTGCCCAGACCCATTAAGAACATGCAGGCCCACAAACTCACAAACAGAGGACTGATGCTAACAGCTCTTAACTCAGAGACAAACTATGGAGTTCATAGAGCCCCGTGATTACAGGCAAATGGCGTGACACATTGGAGTCCATTGTTTGCTTTGCTGGTTGAAAATGGGCCTGGGGACAAACCCAGATATGCCTCCAGGCAGTAAGCAGGATTTGCACATACTGAATGAGAAAACTCTGCAACTCCCAAGAGAATATATGAGGAAAACCACTCAACCCACCCCCATCTTTGCTCTGCTGTTCTCTTCATCCCAAGGACAGGTTCAACATGATATGCAATCCTTCTCCAATCAAAGTGTCAAAAATACGTATTAAGATGATGACCAGGGACCAGAGTAAGAGCAGCAGTAGCTCACTTCTGTACAGAGCTGATAACCAATTTGATAATTTAGCTGAGGATCTCAATGAGGAGCTATTGACACTCTCGCATAAGCCGGCTGATTGATGGCCAAGGGCTCTTGAATCCTAGTTGTCCATGAATGTTAATGAAGAGGGCCCAATTCTGCCAAGAGCCCGGCCACCAATATCCAATGCTGGGTGTCAGCAGTGTAATGATTCATCACCCACCCTAGCGATCATCTATAACACAGTTTTACTGGCAGGGCGGGGCACTTAGTGTATGGGATATGAGACTGAGCTAAAAAAGGATTGTGTGATGGTTAAGTCAAATCCTGTTGATTCAATGGTTTTCTTTCATACTTGGCACTACAGTTAAAAACTGAACTGGCTAAATTAATATAATGTTAAAGTAAAAATGAACTGTTAAACAAAATCATCCAAGAGAGAGAGCGCTAACTGCTACTGAATATCGGCACAGCTGTGATTCATTAACAGTCACAGCCATGCTGATATTCGGTACAACAGAGTGGGTAATTGATACATCTATAAACAGGTGGTCTGCTATAATGTTTTGAGGCAGAGGGATACATACATTGGGATACAAGTCTAAATGTCTAGTGCTATTGTACCTTAAATCAGCACTCATGGAATGGCTTTTTCCCATCAGATTACTTGTTTAAAGTTATTGTTGTATAAACATTACTATGGTTTTTGTTCTTAGCCTCAAATAAGTTGTTTTTAGTGGTTCACTAAATATTGTAATCCAGCCATAAAAGACTGACCCCTTATCCATAGATATATAAGCCAGTATTAAGTCATACCTGAACCATGTCTACATTTTCCAATCCTAGATCTTCTATCTATAGGAAAAAAAGTAATAGCAAAATCATTTGACAGATAGAGATGATATGGCTGTACTAAAGAGGGATGATATTGTAATGAATGAAAAACAGATTTCAATTATTCAAATATGGCCACATCTGAATTACAAATAGTCAATTATATACAGTAGGTGATTTACCTTATTCGATTCTCACTAAACCATTTTGTCTACATCATGAAATTGTTGGTAATTTGGTTGGTTTAATTATTATTTTACTCGGATGTGGGTGACTTGGAGGTTTTCAGAGTTATAAACTATACAGCCAACAATTTAGGTCCTCTATCTGTCTCCAGTTCTCCTCCACCTTCAGCCTGTGCTAAGTGTTTGAATTGGACCATTGATTCTGTTTTGTGTTCAGCTGATCAGACCAGATGGAACCTCACAAAGAAACGTAAGAATGCTTTCCATCAAATGACCCCCCATATTGGGTGTTACCATGTTGGCAAACTTGCAAACTCTCAACCATCTTTTTTGTTAGTCTCAAAATGTCTAGACATTAAACGTTTGTGAGTTGTATTTGGGCTGTGGATGGGGAAATATAGGAATAATGGAGGCCAGGATGACAGTGAAGTGCAGGGAGCTCCATACCACAGACAGAACCAATTATTCCACCAATGTTACCTTGTGCAATGTATCTATTCAGTGAAAAAAATCCCTGCAATTCCACACATGACAGTTCAGTTGGTACATTTAGTGACATGATCAGCTTATTTGCATAGCAGTGTGGGTGTCAGCAGACCTAAAATCTCCACCCTTTTTTATGCAGTAGAACATGTGGATGAGAGAGAGCGAGAGAGGGTGGAGGAGGAGAGAAAGAAAAAAAAAGAGAGAGAGAGAGAGCAAAGAAGAGAAAAGTGTGTTGATCCAACTTATGACAGCACACTGCAGGGGAGGAGCTTTTCAAGGATGACCTCTGCTGGTGCTGCTGCAGGTGATCACTCACTTAGAGGCTGCTACACAAACACGCTCACAATCACACACACATCAACATGTCAAAAGTACAGTATGGCATGTACATGCACACACTACCAGAACACGTGCAGGTACTGTATTTGAAGAACACACTCACAAAGTCATACTGAACTATGTTTTCTTAACAGCTCCAAGACAAGAAACTTTTACCCAGTACACAAATGTGCACACATATGAATGAATTATGAAAATTACACTAATGATTATGCATGCTCGGCTTTTTTTCTGCTAATGTTGATAGCTCAAGACATCTTCTCTTCATTCTGAATTGATTTTGGCATGTTGATATAAAAATAGAACTCCAAAACATGCCTCCTCTTATTTCAATGACGAAACAATTTTAAATGTAGAATGGAAACTTCCGAAGCAAAGCTTAAATAGAATAAGATACAGAACATTTTTGATTGCATCCAAAGACAACACAGAAAATATAGGAACAATCAGTATAGATCTATTTCTCAACTGAACTTCTACAAACAGGGTTACTGAATGTATGTTTTATTTGCTTGATGGAAAGCATCAACTTATTTATAAAACAAGTGTATTTTGACCAGTCATTTTCTCCTCCCACTCCTCTCACATCACTGATGTCTCCCTGTGTGGTCCCTCTATATTTAGAGACTGACCTTGGAAGTTCTCTACCTGCCTGTTGAGAGCAGCCTGTCTGATGATGATCACTGCTTTCATGATGAGATATGTCCTTACCCTCTGAGTAGAGTACTCGGCTATTGATTCTGTATGTGGTTTCACTTTCTGTTGTTTCCCCAGCCTTTGAAAACAAGGAAAAATCAATGACCCAACTCTGGCACACAAAGGTGTGGCTTTGGTTAGAGGGGAAACTTTGGAGCGTTTTAATGACATCTATAATGCATGACCAATGAATGCACAGTGCAATATGTCTGCTATATTCAGCTCTCCTTACAGAGAGGCTAATAGTTATTCAAACAGGATGGAAGGCTTGAAATGATGTCAGAATGAGCAGACATGTGTCTCACATAAGAGAGAGGATGTGAGGAGACTTACATATATGCAGAGAGCAGGAAGAGAGTTCGAGGTGTGCAGAAAATGAAATGAATAGATGGAACAAAGGAGTGAGAGAGGGCAGTATAGACAAAGGTCACTGTGACAGAGTGATGACTCATCTGTTAGAGCACAGCATCTTCTCTCTCTCTTTCTCTGTTTCACAATATCTATCTCTCCACCAACAGTCTGTTTGTTTTGACAGCAAAAGCTGACAAGACTAGCAGCAGACCCATCCTTCCAACAGCTGACAAAAAAAAATCAAATGTGATGTGACGTGTGAATTTAAATGACTAATTCGAGTACATCAGAGAGTGTGTATTTCTACATGTCAGGAGGTCTATTTTGTGTGTTTGTATGAACTATAACATATATCTGGATATAGTTCAGTGTTGTGTCCTGGGCTTGTGGCAACAAACTGGAACTAATCAGCCAATCAACATCCAGATTTAATCTGATTTAAGAAGGTGCATTAGCAACAGCATCATCATCCTTAGCAACCATCTTCAGCTGCCAATAGTGTTGCTCTGCTAGTGAATCTGGAAATATCACTAATGTGAAAAAGCCACAAAGGAGAAGTGAGTAACATGTATTTCAGGGGTTTCAATCATGTTTTGCTTTAGAGGTTTATACAACTTTATATTCGAAGAATGTTTCAGAGGACTTTACAGCTAAAGCATCAGTCTGTAAAATGCCCCTTATCAGCAGAAATTAAAAATAAACAAATATTTAACTTTATAGTAGTTATAGTTTAAGTAATTCAAATGAAAATGTGAAACAATGGCTTAATGTGAAAGAGGGCTGCTTGAAGTGAATGACCTGCAGAAAATTATCTGAATTTTGATAAGCAGGTGTAGATAATATTTAGCACTCAATAACTTATGGTTTGCTCCCCTGTTTTGGCCCCTCACCACTTTCTAAACTCCAAAGCGACACAGACTGCGGCTTGTAGTGAACACAGAGGAGCAGTTAAGTGCTGAATTACCACATAGTGTCCTTCGGTTTGATTAGAGACAAGAAACAGGGCTAAAAGAGAGTATATAGAAGCTAAGCTAATGTTCAGGAAAGAACAGACCACAATAACTTAAAGGTTGTGTCAACAACTTATATTTCCCTTTCTCTGTGTGGCCTTATAAGTATAACAAATAGTTATTGCAGTCTAAGTCATTGAAGTCAATTATCTTCTTAGCGATGTTTGTATTATATTTTCATCATGAGCTGTTGTTGGCGTCTGGCCCTGAAATGCTCTTTGCTTGTTTTGTGTGCATACAGGCTGATATTGGCTTGTGAATGGGTGTTGTTGGCATTGTCTTATCACCACTTAGACCTGCTGTCCAACTGGACTCCCTACATGGTGGGACCCAGTCTCCCTGTGGGGAATATTAACTGATCTTTTGCCAGACACACACACACACACACACACTAAACAACACACATTTACAATTTCCACAAACACACAATGACAGACTGCCAACCCTGACATTGACACACAAACACTGCAACAGTTGATATGATATTAATACAACCTAAGCTGTGATCCCTTCAGTGCACCTGCAGAGGGCTGAATCTGTTTCAGATGGCCTTTCTCTGTATGTAAAAACAACCCTCCCTTGTTGCTATGGAGATTTCTTGCTGTAGCGGTGAGCTGTCTAGTGGTGAGCTTTGATGATGTCATAGGCATTTTGTAATCTTCAAGGCGTACAAAGAGACAGAAAATGACACAACGTTGGAAAAAGAGGAGGGGTGTTTGTCCATTATTGTTCTGTACTGATGATCAGGGGGAGTACTCAGTCTTGATCCATCACATAAATCCTAATATGCTTTGCAGGAAGGCAGTTTAATACTTGTGAACACACACTAGCCTGGAGAGATGGCAGAGTTATTAGTGAGCTGGTGGACTCAGTAAAGTAATAAAGCACACTTGCTCATACACAGCATGACAGTGTGATGGCTGTGAGGCTCAGGGAGAATGTTAATATTTACCTCCTCTGCACAGGGATGATATGCAGTTTTCCACTCAGCTCACAGACAATTCAGTCCTCTTTCAGGTCCAACCATGAGCAGCCAAATGTTCTCTTAAAATCAGAAGTTACCATCTTTTTCCCCCAGGACAATTACAATTCCATGTGCCTAGGATTTTAATGTTTTTAAACCTTAGCATAGTATCTTTTATCTTTAACATTTTCTTGCTTTCTTTCTTGATATTGACAATAAGATGTGCATATTTCCATGAAGGACTGGCCCAGTCACCTAGTTAAAGAGAGGTCACCTCTGTTCTGTCTGTCACACTACTACAGTGAACACTACTTTCCAAGTATGTTTGCCTGGAACCAGCTGTCCGAAGGGCTCCGAGAAAAACATCCTCGTTTACTTATAAAGAACGTCACAGTTTGAGAATCTTGGGAAAAATTTTCGGTGACTTTTAGTATGTGTTTACATCTGTTTTTATGCTGCTGTTAAATGGAACAGGATTGATTGATTAAACCCTAAATAGTTCACTATTTTGTTAGCATACACCAAATTGCCTTTTATAAAACTTAAGTGTCCCTTTTTAAACTATTTGTTTTCTGGATTTTAGACCATGTATTTCCCCCCTTCGTTCAATGTAAAATAATGATTGACAAATTTATAAGGTTGTTACTGTGAAAAAAATGCAATTTAAAACAGAATGAAGTGGATTGTATTTACAGACACATACACATAAATGGCTTTTTGGTATCTAAGTGCCTCTAGTCATACTTACATACATAATATAAATAAACAATACATACATATAATTGATAACACTATCACTCATTGGACTTAAACTTGCCCTAGACATTTCAGAGAAAGCAGGCTGCAACTTGAAAAAGACAGTATAGCAGATGATCTGTTTATGGGTCATGTTTAAGACAGAATAATTCAGAACAAATACTGCTATGCACAACATTCCCCAAAAGACACTCCGCTCCATCCCCAAAAAACAACCAGTGCACTCTGGGATAAAAGAAGACTCTTCACAGGCATGTGTACACATCTGTGAATGTATGCAGTGCCTGTTTTTTGTGTGCGTTTGCATGCCTTTGTTCTTGCTCTCCGGTCAGGGGAACAGCTGCAACCAGCACACTCAGGCATGTGTGTGCTTCACATATTAGCAACATAGAGCACAGAGCTAAGAAAGGCATATGGCTAACAGTCTTTGATTCGTGTCACAGTTTCATTTCAGTTAATGACGTTGGCCTCATTTGTTGCTGCTTTTGACTTGACTTGAAATATGTTTATTGTTGTTCGTATAGAATATCATTCACTGGAAACATGAATACAGAATGTAAAAATCCATGTAAACATTTCCTAAATCTGTTCATTTGATTTTTATAGAGAAAGCAGTATGGAGACATGTCAGAGTCCAAAACACAGTTCCAGCTGAGTTCTGTCACTGCCTGAATCACACTGAGCTATAAAACTGTACATGGAAAATTATACCATAAATTACTGTTTTTATCTTTTTTCTTGTGATTGCATTTTGGATTTAGTATTGATCCACTGGAGGGAGTGATTAGCAAGGCAATGTTTTTTTTATAAGTCCTGGTTGAAGAAACAAGACAGAGTAGGGGGAAGTGATCCAGGGGGAGTTCTGTCTCAACTTTTATCTTTGGCCTGTCAGGCCCAACAGGAAGACCAGAGTCATTGCATTCCTAGAGGGAAAAAACAGAAGAAGGGTCACAACAGATTAATTGGTTAATCTATACATTTCAAATATCAGAAAACTAATTTTGAGTGAAAGTCTTTTAAAGTCCACTGATGTCATATTTACTCCCCCTGTTTATAAAATATCTATTCACCTAAATTTTAGGCAGTCTAATTGCGGTCATCAGATGTTCCCGGAGGTCTGTGCAGAAAAATGGAAAAACCTTCACCTGAGAAAAAAAAATAGATAAAGAGAGAAAAAGGAGGAGAAAAAGAAGATGCAGATTATTGAGTCCATACAATTTCACCAGAGCCATCATACAGCTCCATGGTTTTATTACAATGCATGGCTGCTCCTCCACCTGCTGTCTCATTAGCCCTCGGTCAAAAATCAAAGTGTAAACAATGTCAGTGACTCAGTTCAGAGTGAAAGGGGCAACTTTTGGATTAAGCAGACTTTCTTGTAATGTTTCCTTTTAACCATCCCCTCATGACAAATTCCTTGTATAAAAGTCTAACTTATGTTACTACTTACTTTCTTACTACTTACTACTAATGTCTACTCTGAGGTAAACTCAAAGAAAGACGATGAGGAGAGGTAGGCTAGGCATAAACAAATATGAATGCGAGTGAGCTGTGGAGACACAAAACAAAGCCAAACAGAATAATAATTGAAAAGATTAGCATGCATGGCACAGTGAAATATAATGTCTGTTTTTTCTGTCTCAAATAATTCATCCTGCCCATGACATTAATATCCAGACTGACCAATCTTGTTAAATGTTTTTTTTAAAAAGCTCCCCTCTCCTCCACGGTATATCTTGCTGATCAATAAAGCCTCTTCATTTTCCTTTGAAGCTTTCTTGTGACCTCTGATGTCTCTAACTGATGTCAAATGCAGAGCTATCACTGAAATATGAAGTCAAGGTCAGGGGTCAAAAAAGAAAGGAATAATCAATCCAGAGGTCATTCTATGGGACCTCCCACTTTGCCTTAAGGGTAAAACCAGCTAATGAGGCTGCCCTGATTATTACTCATCCATGACTGCAGGGGGTATATAAGAGTTCTGTCACACACATGTGCAGAAACAGCCACAAAGAATATGTTTGATAGATCCCCTGCCTCATCCCCTCGGACTGCCTTTTTACATTTTTCATATCCCCTTACCCTTGTGTCTTTGTCGGTTAGAATAATCACAGTCTGGGAGGACACGGAACATAATTCTAGAGATAAATCTGCAGGGAGAGCAGTGCAGCAGTTTCAGAGAAACTGCCATGGAAACAACAAAAAGGGGGCTCATAAACCAAATTCATATGGTTAGTCTACAGCATAAGCTACATGCTTATATGTTAGAAAAATGTTTAGCAAATAAAATAGAGTAGGCTACAACCCCCTGCAAAGGAATATGTATGTCTACTCATCAAAAAAACGTCCAAGAAACCTGTAACAATTATGGTGTTTCTCATTTGTCTCTGTGCCTTTTATACCATTGGCAAACGAAGACAGAAGTCACATAGCAGGTAGCAGCCACCTGTTTGTTTGTTTTCAGGAGAAGATGATGGACACTGGGGGGCAGCACTGCGACAAACTGGGTGGGAATGCTGTTGGTGCCCTTATTCGTTAGATAGACAAAGTCAGCTGAAGGTGAAAGACAACCTGGGCTCACTGCAGGAGCATCAAGACCTTTATGGAAAATAGTTAAGGTCACACACTCCAGCTAATGGAAGTCAAAACAACCTATCCTGCAACTGCTGACACACCACTATATTCTTAAGATTTAATCAAGGCAAAGACAAAAAAACACAGTCCCCAAACTTACTCTACTTTTAATATTAAATATGAATCCACTTAGCCACAAATTAAAAATGTATGTAATTTTAAGAATTTACCCTTCATTCTGTTGACGGGTCATTACCAGATTGAACTTTCCTGCTTGAATCGACAAGTTTAGAACGGATTTGTTTAAATCTGCAGAGAGTAAAATCACTGGTGTGAAGGCTAAAAGTGAAAGGATTGTTCTCAGTGACAGTGCTCAGAACTTACCAGTTCCATCAATGGGAGAACAGTGACCTCTGCTGGTCGCTCGCAGTGGTGCACTCCAGACATCCAGACATAACGTGCTCCCAAGTCCATTCATAATTCCTCTCCTTCCACTTCTCCCAAATCATGCATGGCTTGTTTCATTTATAAGGGGTAGTTCATTGTTATAGTTTAACTACTTGATGTTACATCAATTTGATGTGTGTCAATGCTGAAGTCAGTGGGTATGCTTGATTTTCAGGCTGATAGAGCTGCGCATGTCTGGGCTTGTGTTTTACGCACGCAACAGTCTTATCACAAATTGACTTTCGGGATGAGAAACTTCAATATACTTTCCAAGCCATCTGGGGGGGTTACTGTGGTAACAAGGGTGCCATGGCAACGGGGACCGGGGTTACCGAGGAAACGTCCATCACCATGGAGACTGCATCACAGCGGGCTATTATTTGAGGAATCCAAAGAAAGGTGCGCGCCATCTTTGATCATCGCTGTGTGCGCGTGAAGGAGCGCCGTGTCTCTCACGTGTGCATCGCACCGATAATGAGACGCTCCTGCACGGCTCCTGTGTTTACACGGTGCCGTGCAAAGGCGCATGGGAACAGTTCATTAAGAGGAATTATTTGGGGTTGTTTCTTGTAAGACTTTAACGCACAGTAAAGGCAGAGCACAGAACTGTCTAATGGAATAATATGCAGAACTGTGTTTTCAGACATTACATGTGTTTTCAACACACACAGATATTTAAATGATTCTGAATATTATACACAGGCTATGACAGACGAATCACGATTCATAACGTTGATGTGTTCTTACATATGTAGGCTACTCGTCAGTTATAAAGCTTCTATTACTACCTGTTGTGGTCATATTTTGGCTATTGCACAGTGCACAACAGGTCGATTGCCTCGCTCAGACAAGAAAAGTAGGCGTAATACAGAACTCTCTCTCCAAGCGCGAATGGAACGACAGATAATTATGGATTCAGATCACTGAAATGAAAAATCTTGATTCTCTGAATGGAGCACAAAGCAGCGTCTTTGAACACATGGATTGCTCTCTTTCCTTTCTTGCTCTCTTCATCTGATATTACATTGCTTCTACACGCTCGTGCTCAATGACTGCGTGTTTTCACGCCAACTCGTCCTGTGATCAGGGCCATGACTCTTTTGTGGGCTACACGTCCGTGAAAATCTTTTTGTTTATGTTGACACAGTTCTGAGAGTTGTTTTGCTGCGTGGTGTTGGTCGTGGTGGGGAAGTTAGGCTGCTGTTTGAACGCGCTGTGTATCCCTTGCTCCTCTATCACCATAAACTCGCTCTTGCTTAGGGATGAAGAGGAGCGAGTCTTCCTCAGCTCCTCTGTGTCTGCGAGAGGCTGACAGCTGCCCACGTGCAGGTATTGTGCCTGCTCCTCGCCCTCTGTCTCTCTGTGGTAGAAGTAGTTGAAGTTGGAGACGATGACAGGCACAGGTAAAGCGATGGTTAGCACACCAGCGATGGCGCACAGTGACCCCACAATCTTCCCCCCTATTGTCACGGGGTGCATGTCTCCGTAGCCCACTGTTGTCATGGTTACCACAGCCCACCAGAATGCATCCGGAATGCTGCTGAACCCCGAATCTGGGTCGTCTGCTTCAGCAAAGTAGACAGCGCTGGAGAAGAGGATAACGCCGATGAACAGAAAAAAGATGAGCAGACCTAGCTCTCGCATGCTGGCCTTCAGAGTCTGTCCTAAAATCTGCAGCCCCTTCGAGTGGCGTGAAAGTTTGAAAATACGAAACACCCGAACGAGCCGAATTACGCGCAGTATGGCTAAAGACATGGCCTGCTGTCCGTTCCCCTGCCTTTCTGCCAGCTCTGTGCCAAGTGTTATGAAGTAAGGGATGATGGCCACGATGTCAATAATGTTCATAATGTTTTTGGAGAATGTGGCTTTGCTTGGGCACGCGAAGAAGCGCACCAGGAGCTCGAAGGAGAACCAAATGATACACAACGTCTCCACCACAAAGAACGGGTCTGAGAAGGGGCTGATGAAATAAGGGAGCGTGCCATTTATCACAGGTGCAATTGTGATCTGATCCCTGTTGTCGTCCCTGAACTCCGGCAATGTCTCTAAACAGAAAATGACAATGGAGATGAGAATGACCAGGACGGACACTATCGCGATGCCCCGCGCAGGACCCGAGCTCTCCGGGTATTCAAAAAGCAGCCACACCTGTCTCTGAAATTCATTCTCTGGCAGCGGCCGCTCCTCTTCTTTTATGAAGCCCTCATCCTCCCTGAACTTCTCCATAGCTTCCTCACCCAACTCATAAAAGCGGATCTCCTCCGAGAAAATATCAATGGGGACATTTACGGGTCTTCTGATGCGCCCCCCGGACTGGTAGTAATAAAGGATTGCATCAAAGCTGGGTCGGTTCCTGTCGAAAAAGTACTCGTTCCGGAGAGGATCAAAGTACCTCATCCTCTTCTTGGGGTCACCCAGCAGCGTCTCTGGAAACTGGGAGAGAGTTTTGAGTTGCGTCTCGAAGCGTAACCCTGAGATGTTGATGACCACCCTCTCGCAACATTCATGATCGGGTTCATATCGGTCCAGAGAGTGATGGCCTGGGAGAGCCGATGACTCTTCCAGCATGTTGTCACACGCCACCACGGTCATCACGTCGGCCTCTGTCTCGGTGTATCCGTGGTTCACCAGATTGTCGCCCCGTGTTTTGGTCGCGCTCGGCGGGGGTGATTGCAGGAGGCTGAGGTGGTCGTCCATGCGCGGTTGAAGACGCATACAGGGGCGGCCGCCTCGCCCCCTCTGCGAGCCCTGGTCAACCACAGCCGCCGCCACAGCCTCGTCTCCTCCACCGTCTCCCTCACTCTCATTCCGCGTCACTTTCACTCTCTACTGTTGCTGTTCCCGCCCACAGGGAGAGATCTGGGTTATAAACAGGCCTGCCACCCGCCCACGGCGCGCCAACGCTGGGTACCTTTCCCTGTCCCCCACCAATCGCAGGACGCACAGATGTACACAAGAAGCAAGATACGGGCGTCATTCAACACCAGGGTTTGGGCGTGCCCGCCTCCCACTGCCCCCCTCTCCGTCTCCTAGACACGCGCTCAGACACACATTTACGCACACACTCAATATGCAAGCCCAAAGAGTTCTCTTTTTAAACAAGGTCATTGCTGACAGACAGGACATTTCCAAATAGGCTACTCAAAAATACACCAGATCCTATTTTTTAGGGAACAGTTGAATAAGACGCAGTTAGGTTTTACGCGTTACTCTTTGTTACATATTTTGTTCATCCTGTGAGCGGATTTGGGTGTGCCATGTTGATTTGCACAATTTTTCTCTAGATGATTTCTTAATGAACGCACAGAGAAATGATTGGTGTATCAATCCAATGTGCAATACGATAATTGATGCCTGCTGCCCAGACCGGCAATGCTACGTGTTTAAGTGAAGTGAAGCAAACAGTAAGGGCGGGGAGAGGAAGAGAGAGGTCGAACAGGTCAATGGGAGAGAACGAAATCTGTTGTTTAAGAAATAGCTTTAAAGAATCTCAAAGATGCATTAAGACCGACATGTGGAAATAAACACAATAAAAATCATCTTCAAGTAAAGGCATGGTGAGCACCTAATCAAGGGAAATACACAATTATTCAGTAAATGCACATAAGCATGGTGGCCTCATATAATATTTAATAGCTAGTGGTAAATGTCAAAGGGTCAACAGCAGCACAAGTGACTTCGCTGACAGACATAAACAGATATAAATGAGAGAAAGAGAGAGAAGGATAGTGATTTTTTTAAATTTTAAAAATCATATTACTGTGTTTTTCATGTGCAAATATTTGCATACTTTGTTTTGAAAGGAAAAAAAAAATACTGACAAAGATTGTTAAATGAAAAATCAAAAAAACGTTAAATGAGAGCGACCATAACTTAATATTAATGCTCAAGAGAAATATTACCTCACTTTAAAACATCATGTCATTATACAAAAGGGCCTACATTTGAAATTATTATCTATACAACAAAACTGTATGTGTATTGAACAAGTGGATATTTTGGGTTACTTCATTTTAAATGAATACAGTAATCTGACATCAACATATTTTCTTCAGTAGTAGCCCAATTATTTTTTTGAAATATTCCATTAGAGATTTGTGAGAATGTTTTATTGCCCCTGGTGCGCTGCTGTCCAAGGTGCTGAAATGAAGAAACAAAAACTGAAAGTTTCAGGGACAAAATTTTCTTTTTTTTCCTTTGACCAGTTTTTTCAAAGAAAAAAACTTTGCTGCAAGTAAAGATTCGATTTTATTGACTGAGTCAGCCTGAGTGGGAGGCTCCTACTCAGCACAGTAACTAAGTATTGTTTTTTTAAAAAGATAAAAAAGGGACAAAATGTCAGATAAGTTTGTGGTTGTGAATTAATTGAGGGAACATATCTTTTTGGACAACATTCTTTGGGGGAAAAATAGTTTGAAATTAGACCCGTAAACACAAACCTTGATATCGGTAGATCACTACTTTATCAATAGATTTTAGTACATTTAAACTAGATCACATGTATGCCTAGCATGTGGTGAGGATTATCTTCAATACTTATACAACACAGTCTCACAGGTTTAGAAGAAACGAGGACAAGGTGAAGACATTTTGCTGCTCTTCACTTTACAAAGAGCTGCTTTGCGTTTAGGGATGTATAAGGTCTTAGTAATCCTGCCAATGCCAAACACTTGTGTTTCTCTCCCGCGTGTGTGTGGGACGGTGTAGGTGGGTGGGAGGCGGTGGTGTATGGAAGCTGAGAATAGAAGGAAGGAAAGCAGGCTCAAAGTTGACTGATTACCGAGTAGAATATGCTCAGCAAGGAAGTATTGAGTAAAGAAGAGTGGTAAAAAGCCTCTCAGCAGCTTGCTTTAGTTTTTTGCATTGCCAGACGGATACTCAGTACACCACAGTTATGCATGCAAACACAGCATATCAACAAGTGGTAGGAAACTCTATCAAAGGGAGGAAAGGATGAAAGGGACATGCTAATTGTGAGGGATGACTGTGTCTGTCTGATCATGAACGGCTGCTTCCTTCAGATTAGATTAAATGAACATTAGATAACCGGGGTAACCTGAGAAGTCACCCATCAATGTATGCAACACCCATCTGGGAATAAACAAATATGTAATTTGTTACTTTGGTTTGTCATGTAGATTCCAGAGACAGCGAGCGAGAGAGAACAAATGATAAAGTTTGCACTGGTTACTTTTTATTCAGGAATTTTGTTTTTCTCAACTACATTTCTTCTGCAAATGTTACTTTTATTTATTATTCTTAGCTTTTTCCAAAAAATATTATTAGTTAATCATACTTAAAGTACCTTCACATTCTTTACAACCTAAGAGTAATACATACTTATTACATTGAAAAATAATGTATTCAAATAGATTAGAATAGAGTTTGGAGATTTTTTTACATTTTCATTCAGTAACTTTTACAATTAACAGACTGGATCCTCTTTTCACCACTGTAATTTACCTCCCTAATATTTTCCTCCAATACACCAGGTATTAATTCCAAATAATTCCAGGGAAACTGTTACACTATATTGTTTTATCCAAGTATTCGAGGTAATTCTACTGGTGCCACAAAATAAAATCTACAGTTTAAGCATTGCAGGAGGCAGGAATCAAAATGAGGTCTTTTAAGAAAAGGTCTGCAGAGACAGAGCCCTGCTCCCAACCATTTACATTTTGACACTTGTAAAGCTATTCTGTTCAAAATTAATGACGGTGATTGCTAACAACTGACTGACTCTGTGAAACATCCAGTGAGGAGCCTTTTTTCCTATTTAGGCCACTTGAAGCTGTCTTGTATTAAAAGGGCCAGTCAGTCTACAGGGACCGAGCGCAGGGACAGCCAAAGGGCCTCTTAATGTGGATTCTACTCTCTGTGTTAAATATAGGAACACCCACACTCCCTTATTAACCTACGAAATGAGGCTACCTTGCACATTGCACTGGAATGTCTCAAACAGGAATGTGGCCGACTGGAAGGTATTGAAACAGGCCTGAGGAGCATGGGAGGGGGAAGTGGGTCATTCTGCAGGAAGAGCAGCTCAGCTGGCTGAGGTCATGGACATCTGGTTGCACTTGAGAAAATGGGCTGGTTTGGATCTTCTGAGAGGGATGCACTGCAGCTTTTATTCACACAGTTCCTGGAAAAAGGGGAGAAGTTAAGAGAGGACTATGACTGGAGATGACCTAATTGGTAATCTGTCCCGGTGTCTACTAATCAGCATTTTATATGGGTATAGGCTTAACCTACAAGCAGACTGCATGTGCTTTAGTTTCTCTGACAAACTGTTTGATTTCCTATCCAGGAAATATATATAACATTTTCCCTATTGCTACCCAACACTCTTTTGCTACTATTTCTAAATATTAAAACATGTCATTGGTGCAATGCCCACTTTCTCATTATCAACTGTACTTGTTGAGCTAAAGTGTCAGTAAAAAGCATGATGAGTCAGCCATGCTAGCAGCTCTGTTAGGCTGCACTTGGGTGAAATGGTGCTTTGAGCTAAAAGCTAATGTCAGCACAGTCGCAGAGTGCAGTCACTACTCTAATCTTTGCAATTATGATGTTTTGGCATGCTAGCATCAGCCGCACTGTTATAACATTGATTTCTTTGAATGTCATCAATTTGAAGGTTGGATAATTGAAAAAAACCCAGAATATTAAGTAAAAAGCAAAATGAGAGCATCACCTTCACCAAAGGTATTGTGATTCAAATCTGCACCTTGAATGTCTGTATGAAGTTCCATGGCCACAACAGCCCATCCCCAAATAGTATATATACTTTTTTTTTTCATCCAGTAAATTCATGTGGTCAAAGTTATTGCAGAAAGGTAGGTAATGTTCAGGACAGAATACCAAGACTGAGAATGTGTGAAGTACAAATCTAAAAGACTGGCTTTATTGTGAAATAGGAAAACTCTTGAAGGCTATGACATGAAGGTGCCGAGACATCCTGTCAGTGTAGCTTTGAAAATAAATGTCAGCTGATCACATCCCCCTCGAGCTGCGGAGAAAGCTTAAGTGCTTCTTTGGTTATATTCCCTGGGAGAGGCCTTAGGGAATGACAGGATGGCTAATGCCAGAGAAAGAGAGAAACAGGCAAAAAGAAAGATATCTTTCTTTGTGATATAATTCACAAGAGAATAGAAGAGGGAGGCTTATTTATATGAAAACTGACACATGATGAGCAGTGAAAGACACATTTGTAAATTCTATTTTCAAATATCTCTGCAAAGATTTTTTAAACATTTTTATTTCTAAGGAATAAAGTGGTCCAGCTAATTCAATACCATGCTTGTAGGCGATGCAATGACAACCATAGTCAGTCTTTGTTATCACCCCACAGACAACTCGTTAAATCCACTGGTTCTCTATCTGGGTTTTAATCACTGCACTTTTACAAGCAGTGTCTTCCTGTTACTCAGCCAGTCACATGCCCTCAGCCATCCCACATCCTCTTCCTTTCCACATGCACATAAACAGTAAAAGCACACAGGGGTGCTGTAATCTGAATATTCACAAATGAAGAGGAGGTCCATATGGGCATTGGACCCGTGTGTGTGTGTGTGAGTGGACTACTTAATTAGCTGCTCATATTAGCATAACGATAGATATCAGGGCTAGGGTGCAGCTGCACATGACAGAGGCACATTGGACGCTAACAGGAGGAAGAGCGGAGAGCACGAGATGACAGGGCCATCTGTGGAACAAAACCTCACTGGCCAGGAGCTGCACCAGGTCCTGCTGTAACCCCGGCAACAGAGAGAGAGAGAGAGAGAGAGAGAGAGAGGGATGGGGAAAGGGTGAGGAGTGCAGGAGAACAACGGATGAGCCTCGGCTGGCTGTGGCACTCTGTTATTGTTTTAGTCGGATGATCGTATGTGTATGCTGGGTGGAGAAGAATAGATAAACAAATTGTGGCTGGGTTAGGCAATGCAT